GCTCCTATTTTAAACCATGCTACATTTGCCATCTTTTAACTATTTTTAATATGCTTTGTGTTCAACATTCGAGGAGGCTATATAGTTTAATAGAAACTAATGTGGCTAGCGAGAAATATTTCTTTAACACAGTAGTATAATTGAAAGCCTGTTCTATTTAGTTTGGGTCACCATGTTTCATAAATCGGATTGCTTATTTTACATGTTTATACAGTGAAGTGACTAGTGCCCAACAGCGCATTCTAATTTTTCCTTTTTTAATAACATTTAGAATGCCCTATTGGGCTCTAGTTATGTCACTTGGTCCCCCTTTTTAAACTTGTTGGTGGGTGAAGCTGTTCTCACTGCTATCCATGCTTCCCTCACAGGTCCAACCATCTGATTCTAAATGAATAGCATTTATTTGGATAACTCTCCCAGCTCAGAGTTGGGGAGGGATTGAGTGTGTGGTGGACAAGGTGTGTTGGCAGAGGTGTGGATGGAGGAAACTTACAAGCTTCTCCTTGCAGGGATGCTCACAGCGTGTGCTGAAGACAGACCTAATAATTGAACAGTACTAGCATTAGGCAGTCCAGAACAAAGGTCCAGGCCAATTAAGTCACGTATGCAGTGGGTGCAAGTACCCCCCGACATGAAGGTGCAGATTACCTGGTATAGGCAGCGTTTTAAACAAATGCAGCTCCTATAGATTCCTTGCTCCATGACCACTTCTAAAAGCAGAAGTAACCCTTTATCTGTTATGCAGAGCACTCGATTCTAAAATATTAACATGTATGTGATTGTAAATTTCATGATTCAAGAACAATCCTGAGAAATTCAAACAGACACACATGCACCACAGAGCAGGAATAACCTTTCAGGAGATCGGAGGTGACCTAGAAAATATTAACTAAGGCCAGTAATCAGGAGAAAATATATGTGCATAGCTGAGGGCACCTTTAATATGAACCAAGCTCCTTCATTTGTTATCTGATGGCATTTGTCACAGAGAAAAGTCTAAGTGGAGTGCTCACTTCTGAGTATCACAACCTTTACAAAGCCACATAGAACAGAGTTTCCTAGAAGAGTTATAGATGTGTATGTATGAAGTAAGAAGCTTGGATTTAAAAAAATGAACTATAATTTTTTTTCAATTTTTATTTTTGCAGTGCATTATAAGATAGGTAAGCTTGCATAAGCATTTCATGAGTTGACATAGGACAATACATGAAGGGTTCAAATCTCATATTGATGCTAAAGTGTGCCTTCCATTTAAAGGGACACTAGTCACCAGAACTACAGCAGCTTATTGTATTTGTTCTGAGAAGTAGAATAATTCCCTGCAGGCTTTTTGCAGTAAAGTCTTTTCAGAGATAATGCAATGTTTACATTAGCCTAGTGATAACGCTACTAGCCACTCCTCAGATGGCTGCTAGAGGTGCTTCCTGTGGAAGTACTGCCATTCAGTGTCTAAAGTACACTAAACTTTATTTATAGAGATGCATTGATTCACGTCATCTCTATGAGGAGATGCTGGTTGGCCCGATCTGCCTCCTTGACAGTGTTGGCCAATCCTATGGGGAAGCACTGTGATTGGCTCGGACCTCTACTTCTGATGTCAGCAGGCAGGTCAGAGTTGAATACAAGTAAGATTTTACTATATTTAGGGAAGCAAGACAGGGCAACAAGTGGAATTTTTCAGTGTGTGTCGGGTAGGGTTTTTGATGGTGATTAGGCATAAAAACAATGTTGGTGGATGGTGTTCTTTAGTGATTTTAAAATTAAAAAAAAAAAAAATGATCTTACTAACAACATATCACTTTCCTTTCAGGCTCTGGTATATTTTCAAATGGCTGAAGAAGGTAATTATGCTTTAACTTTGTCAAGCATCCTTGTATATTTTATTACATAAACAATCAATATTACTTACAGAACTAAAGCACATACATTAATGAGAACTGTGTTTTAACGTCTTGCAACACTGAAAACCAGAAAAGGGAAGGTTTTGTTAAGTATGCCTTAATAGTTAAAGTGGCGCCATAACTTCATAAGAATGACGTTATGATGCAAAGAGGTCACAGGCACCTCTTTACATTCAGGGGTTAAACCTGTTTATGTACAAAGCTGAGTGAAAAAGGTGCACGGTCCAAAGCTTCCCGATTGAAGCCTCTGAGTTAAACAGAAGTGGAGGGGTAGGAGTAGAGGTGACAGACTCAAGTCTTTGGGGTTAAACCGTTTGCTAATAATCCAGTGCCTGAAGTGTTCCTTCTAAGGGGGTCTCCAAGCAGTGATTGGTAGTGATTATGTTGCCTGTAGTCTGTATGGGCAGCTTCTTGCTATGAAACTCTGCACATGCAGTGTTTAACCACTCTGACAGACATAACTACAGCTGAGGTAGGACATTACCTGTGGAACTTTAGAATAGTCAGCATAACTTTACTTTAATTACTCAATGTTCTCACTTTTAAGGAACACTAGTATCAGGAAAACACATTCCCAACTCTAGTTTTAAAAGCACTGTTTAGGTTACCGCCCCCTCTCCTTACTTGAAAAATTTTTTACTCCCCCTTTTTCCTCTTGCCATGGCTGAGATCATAAAATTTGATGGTCTTAGCCAAGGAAAGCATTTGGAGGCTATTGCGAATGCAGCAAAACTCTGCACTGCGCCAATCTGCATCTCCAAGGAGACACTTTGAATGGAGACTCTGAACATCATTGCTGCACTGTGTAGCACTGCACCAGGAAGAACCTCTAGTGGCCGTCTGAGTGACTGCCACTAGATGGGTTACTGGGCAGTAATGTATATTTCAGAGAAAAGGCACTAGTTACATTAAGAAGCCTACAGGGACATGCTAAAGACACCAGAACAAATACATTAAGCTGTAGTTCTGTTGACTAAAGTGTCCCTTTTGTCATTTTCTCACATATAAACACAATATCTATAGATATATTAATTCCTTCAAATTTTTTCCATTATAGCGGATCCAAATTTCTATAGCAAAAATCTACTTTACCTGGGTAAGAGTTATTTAAAGTTGAAAAACAATGAATTGGGCTTGTTCTGGATATCCAAGGCAAAGGACTACCCTGCACGATCAGAGGAAGATCAACAGGTAATCTCTTCAAAATCAAGCATTTTACACTAAAATACCAGGCCAAAGGTTTTATGATCCTGTGGAGAACAATGTGTAAATTAATACTACAATCACAGTATGCTAAATATAATCCAGCATAATGTATTAGAAAAATGTTACTTCTGATCCTGGAGGTCCTCACTAGATGATTTATTGGCCCCTCTAAGGATTATTGTAGAGAAGTGTTTGCAATGTATCAAACAAATGCTTCACTCTATAAACACCACACACTTATGCCTTGAACAAGCATTTAAGGACATGTCCTCAAAAACTAATCAGTCTATTTCCAATCACCCCACACTATGGACTTTGGAGGTTAACCGTTCTAAATTTGTCTATGGAGAGGATGATGCTTAAACTGTAATGCCTAATTGTAGCCACTAGAGAGTAGCAATGGCTCAGTTGTTTTGTAATAGCTAGTCTTAAAAATGTATTTCTAATACTGTTTCCATTACAATGGAGAATGAGCCTAGAAGATGCTTGGAAACGTCCTTCATTTTCAGCTTCCAACTTATCAAGTTTTAATTTCCCATCCTGAAGAACACTGAGCAAAAGGCATGGATCTTGGGAGGTAGACACTCCTAAGGATGAGAATGTCAGAAGCAGTGGTAGACACCTTACTGGATTTAAGGAAGTTGCTCCCTTTCTTCATACCATAACATTTGGGCCACATTTCAAACATCACATTTTTGACTCTCCAGAAAGCTTGTACCAAAGCTTAAAAGGAAATTGCTGGGAAAACAAAGTTATAGTGCCCCCTCACTCAAGTGGGGGGACCAAATCTAACTTGTTAACTTCCTGTCCCTACAGCTGAGGGCGGAGGATAAACCGAAAAATGATGCTGCTGCCATGGAAATCAGCCAGGAAGAGAAAATTAGGCTGTCGGAATACATTGTTATACTGCTTTTTATGGGAGCTATTACATTTGCATTGTATAAATGTTTTGTTAAGACAATTTTAACAACTTCCCCCTTTTCAATTTTAGGTCCACAAAGAAGCTAGTGACATACTGAAGTCCATGGGACGATAATTCGAATCATGATAAATTCTCTAAACATTTTAATTCAACCAATACAGGTTTTTTTTTTTTTATTATAAAAAGGTATAATTATCTGTTAGCATTGTGTCTAAATAAAAGTAACAAGTATTGTGTGACGTTGTTCCCTTTGTTCTTTTGGAACCATCAGAGATGCTCCACCACTCATTCCATGGTTTCTAGTCAACAGGGCAGAATCGGCGACAAACTCATGTAGATGTTACCATATAAATTCACCTGAATAAAAATGACATTTAGAAAAGGCCAAACTATAAACCGTTATGGGACAAGTATATTTTACGCTGAATGTGACTAGACATTAGCTCACATGTTATCTATGCATGTTTCTGGTTAGTGGCCCAGGCTGCACGTACAACAAAAGAAAGAATGGTCCATCACACTACCTTTGTGTGTCAACACTCCAAATTTAAGGATCAACACAAGTGAGCAACTTTGCTTACTTGTGAGATCCTTAAATTTGAAACATTAATATACAGCGCTTAATGTTGGCAAAACCTCATGGGAATTGAGTTTTAGAATAGTTGGGGGTTCTCATTCCCTAAATTTGCCTTTGAATTGGTTTCGCACACACAGGAATAGAGATACATAAATGACATTAACAAGGACACAGACAGTAAAATTTGTCATATGGATTTTACATCTATTTACAATGGATAATAGAGTGGAGAATTTACAAAGGATGATTGATAATCTATAATGAGTGGGTGAACACTGAAGAGGTTTTGAACATGCCTGAATGCTAAAAACTGACCATTTGTTACATAGAAACATAGAATGTGACGGCAGATAAGAACCATTCGTCCCATCTAGTCTGCCCAATTTTCTAAATACTTTCATTAGTTCCTAGCCTTATCTTATAGTTAAGATAGCCTTACGCCTATCCCACGCATGCTTAAACTCCTTTACTGTGTTCATGATTAAAGAATTCTACCTCAAGAGTGAAGGTTTAAAACGGTGTTTGCACTAAATACTCATGGAAAGCAGAAGTATAGAAGATGAATTCTGAACTATAGTCTGGGGGAAAAAATGAAATTACACCACACACAGATTTGAGATTAAAAAAAAAATTTAATTTGTCATTTTCTTTTGAAAAGTTTGCAATGTAATCCTGGTATTCACACTAGACCGTTTCAACTCCTCATCCTGTCAAGTCTAAAAGCCTGTGGTTCCACATTGATTGTATGCTGTGTGGTGCTAACACCACTCTGCAACTGTGTGAGGCAGAACCCTTGTTGCTAAAGGGTTAATTTGAACACTGCTACCTACCCAGGTACATTGTTCCACTCACAGCTCCTCTATATTTGCACCATTGAAGAGATCACCAGTTATCACACTGAATACATGAATTGGGCAGAACTTGGCATTTTCTGCCACTTTAAAAAGCCAGCAGCAGTTTTTTATATTTTAATCAAGTCTTTTTTAATTTTTTTGGGCATTAGCCTTTAACACCATTTGTTGGCTGCCATGCAATAATCATTTGTGGTATGGATGTTGTATATGTAAACCACTGATCGCAAAGTGTTTCTTATTGAATAAAGCAGGTCCAGTCCTCCAATGGCTGTGATTTTCTTTTTTTGTATACTTACAACTCTATAAAACTAGAGTTCTCAGTACATACAGTTATATAAATCTTAAAATAAAGTCTTCGGTCAGCATTTTAAAATTAAAGTTATTTTATCTATTCTGTTATTTGAAGGGGAAATAAATAAAAATAGAAAAGGCTAAAGTGTTTTGCATATCTATGTGGAAGAACAGAAATATCTACGCATTAGTTTCAGAAAGATCACTGTACAGACTAAACAGCTTATATACAAGTAAGAGTGTGCAATGTTACTTGGCTGGACAGAACACAGATGTCCTTTAGCATTGTGTGCGTCTTAGACACAGCTGCTATTTATTCTTGGCCAAAACCTTCAGTTTCTTCAATTGCAAAAAGCAGCTTCTCTTTTAACTGTTCGTAGCTTTTATAGGGAGGCAAATCCAAACGGTTGAAACTGTAAAAGAAAGGTAGATGTTTTGCAAGTTGGGGCAGAGACCAATGAAGATGGTTTACCCAAGAACTCTTAAAAGGGATGCTGCGGGCACTACATCTATTTCATCCCATTGCAACATTCCTCCATGCAGTGTTAGCCATTTCTGGACATTTTAACACTAAATAAGGATCCCTGGCCACCCACAACACAGCCCTCTCTAAAGGTATGGCTAAAACATTATACACTTGCTTTAATTCATACCCATAATGGGTGCTGTGGTCAGCTGCTACTCAGGCTAATACTTTATTTCCACAAACATTACAGAGGAGATGGGCTGCTGGGAGCTTTTGTTTAGCATTAAAAAAATATAAAAATAATTTGATGCTGAATGGAAGGATGGCACTTTAGGAACTATAACCATATTAATGAGATGAAGCCTGCAGCTCACAATGACTATATGTGCGGTCCAGCAGAGGCAGCTCTCTAAATCGCTTTAAGGCACACTAACATGTTGGGTCCTCTGTCTAGGATCCTGCTCCACACTATACCACACCCCCATCCTCCGTCATCCCCACCCACCCAGTCTCGCCATCACCTTTACCTTCCCTCTCCATGTAACACTCCCTCCTCCAACCATGTGACACTAACCCTTCCTCATTCTGTCAACCCTGTCTCATTCATTCCTAAACCAGTCTCGCAGTACTGTTTTATGTTTATTTCAACCATCATATCACAATGGGATCAAAATTTTACATACCATGTATGACTTCTTGGCAGCCATGTTTCTTTGCCGACTTTCTCAATACAGAATTTCTGAGGTCCATTACTCCCTAGATTAGAAAAACAATTGTGTAACTTTTCCCAGCAGAAATCTTAAAAACCATACGCTTAGCAGTCCTTTTACACAACTAACATTTGGTGTTACACTCCAGGCTCTTTGAAAAGAACAAAATGAAAGAAAAAAAAAAAAAAAGACAGTTGTCTTACATGAGAGAGGAATACACTGCAGTTTGGGAAGAGAAACTGACGACCTGGGCTTATATAGCAAAATGTTTATTATAAAAAAAAAAAGTCAAACCAAGTTTTACAATGCATATATGTGTTTCTACAGTCCACTTTAAATTCAATTAATTTTATAGCCAAGCACCCCCAACTACACAAAAACAGTCAGCCATCATTAGGTCATTTCATTATTTATTTATTTTTTTATATATAGTTTAATGACCCCAGACAGCACTGCTTTGCATGTGTGTCCTGGTTGTACCTTTACAGCAGACAGTTTTAATGTCAAATGAATTTACAAAGCCCATAACAGAGAAGGTCTGTCACACCACTAAAAAAGTGGAACATCTGAAATTAGGAAAGCATTCAGCCAGGCCCATCCAACAGTAATCAGTCCATAAGCAAAGGCTTAAACTTACCCATCAACTCCGCAAACCCGCCCAGAGGTAACCTGCAGGTACCAGTGACAAATTGGAGTAACCGAAGTCGCACCTCATTGTCCATTTCCTTCACAAACTGAAAGATCAGAAAAGTTGATTTCCATTTGTAAATTTTCTTACAGTTTCTGTATACTGAGATTAATTTTAACACATGGGTTCAACAACAATACATTTAAGATAACTTTAAGAAGCATTCTGACTCAAGAATGTATACAGCTCTAAAAAAATAAAATAAAAATAAAGATACCATTCCATTTCTATTTCCTAAATCAGCATCCCTACATGTATGGCAGCCATTCTATTCTATGACACATCTATATTTTGCCATCCTTGTCCATTCATATCACAGAATCCGCATAAGATGGTGAACACAATACAATACCTGCTGTACTTCACCTCCGCTATCAAAAATTCTGCTATCAATCAAATTTGGGACTATTCTGTAAACAATATTTTACTACTTATTAGTGTTGTTTAGCATCTCTACACCACCATTTGACGTAACCCATTTTTTATGTCTACCTCTAACTGAAATTATTTAGGGCACTGAAGTGTTTCTTTAAAGTCAAGTAATGAGGTTTTATAAACACTAATCCATGGCAAATTGAATATTAAGTGATACACCAATAGTTACCCATGCAAAAGACAATTTTATATGAACTAAAGTATTTAGAATAGTTACTGATAAGTTCTAGATTACCTGCCAGAACCAAATGATCTGCTTGCTATTTCTTGTATAATGACGATACACTGTGTTCCGCTGCCAGTCTGATAAATCCACTTCCTGCATTCCGCAGAGCATCACCTAAGACATCACACATATTGTTCACATTCCATGGAAGCTCAATATACAAGTTACTAGTGTAGTGTGAGATCTACATTAGCTATGCACAGACAGGGTGATCATACAGAAATCATTACAGTACTGCAGGATACATGTGTTGGTATGGTCACTTTAGCTATGAATCAGATTATTCAGAAAATGAAAAACAACAAATGAATGCAAACAGACACTCGAACTGTGAGTGAGCCGCATTTTAACAGTCCGTCAGTAGTGTCTCCACCTATAAAACACGTTGTCTTGGTTTGGACGTTTGGCCAACTCTACGATAAGTTATGAAACCATGCTACTTTGTGTATTAAGCAGCAAACAAATTCTGAATTTACTAGTACAAGTATGGGGTGGACTCTGCATAATGTCACACCATTCTAGACTGAGTGTAGTAGAAGTATTTTTTTTATCTGCTTATCAGTGTGTAGATGATGATGATGGATATGTTTACCTTCCTGTAGATACAACTCGAGAAGTAGCTATTCTTATAGATTGTGTAGCATTTGATTGTTACAAAAGGTAAATCTAGATTACCATTTTATAATTGGGTGCTAAACTCAGAAAAACTTGACATTGGGATTTTGTAATGAGAACTCAGCCTCTATCCCTGTATCAGCAACTCGCACCCTGCAGAATTCATCATGAAACTTGGCAAACAGTGAATAACCATTCAAGGTGAACTGTTCCCCATTTCTTTTTAACTCCTATATTAACAAATGTATCCTGTAACTACGAAAGGTCCATCTCTAGATGCCAGTCTCAATCAGTTACCTGGAGGTCAACATTAAGAGCACTGGAAACATTTTAAGGATGTATATACATGTCAAAATGTGTTTTGTGAATGTTACAAGCAAGTTATATACGAACGTTATGACATTAAATTAGTAATGAATATCCATATCGTGTTGGGTTAGTATAGTCTAGGTAAACAAGTCAATGAAAACATTGAGTCTGTTAGATTTGAGTTACTTGGGAGGAAGGGCAACAATTCATGATTTTAGGGAAAAGGAAAAACATTGGATTGGTTGAGATCACCAAGGAGGAGGGCAGGGCCAAACGCCGGTTTAGCCGATAAGCATCTACACATAGAGAAGCATTGAATCAATACATCGCTATGAAAAAAGTTCAGTGTTTCCATGCAGAGGGTGGAGATGCTGAACATTCGTGCTGCACACAGTGCAGCACTGCCCAGGAAGCATCTTTAGTGACCATCAGAGGAATGGCCACTGTAGGTGTCGCTATGGAGCATTTCTCTGAAATGAAGTGTTTACAGCAAAAAGGCTGAAGGGACTGACCATATTTACCAAAATAACTATATTAAGTTGAAGTTGTTCTGGTGACTATAGTGTCCCTTTAAATCACACAATATAATCGGAACGGATTCGTTTTTTAGACCGCTTTACCAACCCAGGATCTAGATGCTGCAAGGACCCTCCTTTTAGGGAACACATTATGTACCTGCACTCTGATTGGCAGCATGTTTGAGATATTTTTAGAGATAGATAACTAGGCATAATTGGTGCAAGAATCAAGAAAAAAAGGTGGGGTTTGCATATGATCTAAAAATGACCATACTCTCTGGCAAGTACATTGAAGGAGTTAAAACCGATAAAAGCTATTTAAAATATATTTTTTGTTTTGTCTTTTTTTGTAGTCAACTTAAATGTATGTGAACACATTAGATGCTACTTTCAAACAACTGTATTTCAAAATAAATCAACTAATACAGTTAATGCATTAGTCTTCTTGCCCATTGTCACAAATATAGATTTATGTATATATGTACATTTGTATATGTCGAACCTCTAACTCTTTCTCATCAAAGTACTGCAGCCATTGAAGTGGGACGACAGCATTAAAGCCGTCAAGAAATGCTTTGGTTTGGTCTTCAACTCCACGTGAGAATCTCCACTCTGCCATTAGCCTAAAAAAAGGATGGGGGAGAGATAGGTGTTCACAACATTTCTTGTACATTTAATTGATTTAGAGGAGTCTGTAAAAGGCTATTTATATAGTAATATGCACAATAATCTATCCAGTGGTTCGTAACTCAGTCCTAAAGTACCCCCTACCAGTCCAGAATTTAGGGATTACCCTGTTGTGTCTAAAGTGTTTTTTTTTCTTTTTCTAAAAACACCTTAGACACAACTGGGTAATCCCTGAATCCTGGACTGTTAGAGAGTAGCAGCAAGAAGCCCAGTTTATAAAAAATACACTGAATAAATAGCACAGATACACAACATTCACAGTTTATTTTGATTGACCTCTAGCTGTGTTTAAGCTACAAATCAGATTATATTGACTAAAATACATCAAGTATAAAAGAACATCTCTTTAAAGAACATCTGCTATACAATGATAGTGACTTCAACAAGCACATCTCCCTGCCCCCCCCCCCCCAAAAAAGACTTGCTTCTACGTAAGCTAAATGCAATGAACTATATCCCTAAAGGAACTCTGCTATGTACAGGGTGGCCCATAAATCCCTACCCATACCGCACACAGATACACTGAATACATAAAATATATGGATGGGTGGGGAATTACGGGCCACCCTGTATAATAAATTATAGATTACCGTATTTGACAGAAATGTAAGACTACCCATTCTATAAACAGGAAAGTGCTATATGGACATGTGTCTGATGCTGCACAGAATGAAAAACAAGTCAAAGGCCCAAAGAAATTCTAGGTAGATATTGGTGGAGCCAGTTTATATAAAAATAAAAATTATAATGAACTGGTCTATTAAAGTACACATCTCTGGCTTTCAAATTATCAAATGTACTTTAACAGAAATTGCAAACCTGAAGAAATCAGTACCATGATACTCATCCATTTAAACAGCTATAGTCTCCAACAGCAGGAGTGTCAACAGTAATCTGTGACTGTTGTGGAGTAGAACCTTTAATGCTACAGGCAGACTTCCCAAGCTTCAGAAATGACAACATAATCCTGATCAGGCCCAGCTGAGAATCACTAATACTTTGTATGGTATAATGCCTACAAGGATAATTCTATCCCTTAAAGTAGTATGACAGTTTCCTAGATGAAGATAAATAGAAGTCTAAGAAGGTTACATAATACTTCCACACAGGCCAAAATATTTTTAAATATTTATCTCTTTCAGTCTTTCTGAGATTTAAAAACATATAAAAAGTTCATCATACCCGATATATTCTTCCTTGTTTTCTTCAGTAACAAGGACGTTGGATCCTTCAGGTTTAAGATCATGAGATGTGACTTTCCCCAGAATCTCCATGTCCACAGAAAAGTACATCTCCAAGTTACATTCTTCAATGTTATTGTCCCTGCAAATGACAAATAATGTTGGCAACCATCTGCTAATCAGCTTTTGCTACTGGGAAGACACATCTTTACTTACTAACCTTATCCATATTAGGGAGTTATAGAACTCTGGATCAATGGATTCCAGATCTTTGATGGTGAGTTTCTTGCTCAACATTCTCTTGTAGAATGGGAGAGAAAATCCTGTATCAATAAACTTACCATGGAACAAGGCCTAAAGAAGAACACAAAACCATCAGTAAGTGCATTGAGTGGCTTTACACCAAAGTTTTATTTTTATAATATAGTATTATCCAAAGACTGTAGTCTAAATTATTAGGGAATGAAAAGTGTGGAACGTGTTAAGAGGTGTCTTTTTTTTTCCGTTGCCCCCTTGTGATTTTTTTTTCTGTTTCTTTACATCCTTATGGTCTTTATTTTTCTGTATTCACCATGACACCAACTTCTCTTTGTCACAAAAGATAAATCGTAAAAACGTGTGTTCCTTCCTGCTCACTGTCATTCAAACACACTATGCAACTCAAATATACAGCTGATTTACTCTTATTACACAGAACGCCATCTTGATGTAAAAAGAATACCTGTTTGCCTTTTAATTCATTAGATTAAAAGTGATACATGAATTAAATAGTACAATAAAACTGTACAAGACAATATCTAAAATATATAATCACTGATATTCTGTAAATAGTTCATGAGAAATATGGCATTCAATCTTTTGTGTACTTATAATGGGCACCCACAAATCGTAACTCACGCAATATATATATAAAAAACAAAAACAAAAAAACACACACACAAACCTCAAATTGTCATATTCCAGTTAAACAACCTTCACCATTATACATCTTTTATATCACATTATATTTTTTAGTTAGGATTGTTGCAGGGGTTAATGGGAAATTAAATGTAGGGGTTAATTTTTGTTCTATAGGAGGAAATGTGTTAGATACATTTCGGGCAGGGCTCAAAATTTCCCACTCGTCACCAACCAGTAAAAATGTAGCACTCGCAAGTAAAAGTTTAGCCATGGTGAGTGTGCCAGGCACCCTCTCTAGGCACCCTCCAGGTACAGTGACAAGTAATTTTTTAAGGTCAGGCAAGATTTGAAATTTTAAGCCCTGATGTGAGGACTAATGTCCCAATACTGGCTGAGATTTGTGGGAGTTACAGTCATGTAAGGCAGCTATTTAAGCTATCATCATTAAAATTGAGGCATGCCTGTGTATGTCCCCGTGCGTACTTAATAACGGGCCCCAAGACTGCAGAAGTGATGTGTACTAGCTGATCATTACAGGGAACAATCTCAAGGATTATTATAAAATATGAACTGTACACTGAATTGTACTCATTGTCTCCAGGATGGATCATATGTTATATACACAATATGCAGTAGCTCCCTTTATATATGAAAGACTACAAACCATAGCAATGAAGCGTCCAATGAAGCAGAAATAGGAGAGATGATCAGGATTGATCGTTGATGCTGGGTTAATCTGCAGGCAGTAATTGCTCTTTCCTGCATATTCAAACAAGCAGTACATCGGGTTCAGCACTTCATGAGAAAGTAAGAAAAACCATTCTCTGCAAACAAGCACGGACAATGAATCCAGTAAGAAACCGCAGTAAGGACAAAATATACCATACAGAGCACTAAAAATGTCTGCACCAACACAATGGTTTATAAGAAGCACAACTGCTCAAATCATCTTACATTGGCTGTAATTATTGAAAAGAGCAAATGCATCTTGCAGTAACATTTAATAGCAACACGTATATAGCTAGCCAGTCTATATAAGAGTCAATGTACATTACCATACAACAACAGCAGTCTCCACTCAAAAAGCAATGTAAATCTTTGCTAGATTTCCCCCCCCCTCACCCCAGTAGTCCAATTTAATATAATTCAGAAATACTTTTGTTGTATTTGACAGGAGAATTATTTGGCCATTTGACTCCAGATTCATTAGGCTGTATATATTGCCACAGAAAGCACTTCCCACATATTAAAATAATCTGCAGATCACATAGATGCCAAGTTAAAACCTATAAAGCAAACCGTTACCTTGCCAGACCGCCATAGTCTAAACCTTCTTCGCCTCTGAACATTACATATAACCGTCTTCTTAAATCATACGGTTTTAGCGCCATGATCTACAGATGAAAAAAAATTAACAAATTTAAAAACGTATCTGGTTGGAAAGGCATTCGATAAATATGTCTTCACACTTTATGAACCTTTTCTACAGTATCAGAACATTGCAATGCCACAAACGCTAAAAAAAAATATATATATATATATATATATATATATAATTTTTTTTTTTATTCATGAATCAGCCAAAAGGTGAATAGAAAAAAATAAAATAAATAAATAGCACATAAAGTATAAGACAGTGACAAGGATCTTTTAGAATTCGCTTTATTTATGAGGTAAATAAACCCAAGAAAAGAGAAATAGTGCATAAGGTCATATTTTAAAAATGTATAATTTTTTTATATTATGGAACATGTAAAGAAGAGATTAAAATGATTTTACGCACCCAGGTCTATAAGAGGCATTTTTTTATTTTACATGTAAGAATATTACAGGTATTGGAGTGTCAACGTAGCTCAGCAAGTGTCCAGTACAAACTGAGCAATTTCTTTACTTTCACATAATTCTACACCATACCATTTATTTTGACAACTGGTGGGAATAACCATAAGCAACAGTAAGACACATATCTGCATTAAAAAAATAAAATAAAGGAACATGGTATCTTATCACACTCTTAATGTATAGTGTACCTGCTGAAAGGAGTCTTCAAAAAGTGTCTGCCTGGATACGGTTATCTTGACATGGCTTGGCAATGCATTTGACTGTAGAAACAGATGTAAAATGATTATTTGCAAAAGATTTGAAGGTACATTTTAAACAGAACCTGAGGTTATATATAGTGCAACCATCAAAACCGCTGGCACATGCATGTGATGTGCCTAATGGAATCCTTGTAATTTACTGTAATGTTTCTGCATAAGCTAGCTACTGCAATGGTGCTCTCCCTGCATCTCATTGCATTAAAGTTGCAGCTGGAAGAAAAATATAGCTTATGAGAAAGCATATACTTTCCATTTTCTTATTGCAGTAAATCCTGAATCCCTACCACATAGCTGATTAAAGCCACTGCATCACCTAGAAATTTCATTTCCCATCTAGTTTTCTTTAAAACACAAGTCAAAATAGGGACTACTTTGTCTTAAGTATTTTTCCTATGCCTGACTTTCTTTGAGCCAAAAAGGAGCTTAAGTTGGCTCAATTTTCTGTGTCAGAAAATGTTCCCACAATATTCACTCCACTTCGACAAGGGAAAAGGACACTATAGTCACCAGAGCAACTACAGCTTATTTGTTCTGGTGAGTATAATCATTCCCTTCAGGCTTTTTGCTGTAAACACTTTCAGAGAAAAGGCAGTGTTTACATTACAGCCTTAGGATACCTCCACTGGCCACTCCTCAGATGGCTACTAGAGTTGCTTCCTGGGGCAATGCTATACAGTGTGCAGAACTGCCATTTAGTGTGTCCACCCTCTGCATTGAGACACTGAACTTTCCTCATAGACATGCATTGATTCAATGCATCTCTTTGAGGAGATGCTGATTAGCCAGGGCTGTGTTTGGCTTGTGCTTGCTTGGACCCTGATCTGCTTCCTTGGCAAGCTTAGCCAATCCAATGCTTTCCTATGGGAAAACCTTGTGATTGGCCTTGATCAACACTTCTGAGGATGTCAGCCAAGCAGGCAGATCAGGGACAGAGCCAGCAGCAGCAGTAGACTGGAAGAAAGGTAAATTTATACTATATACAGGTGTAGGAAAAATATATACTTCTGTTTTAAAGAAAACTAGATCAGAAATGAAGAACAGGTTCTGAGACAGGAAGAGTAGAGGAAACAATAGGAGAAAGGTTAGTTTGACATAACAGTGCCGCCTTAATGACAGAGTAACTCAACTGAAAGCATGGCTGACATTTATTTACAATCCTGCGATTTTCTCTTTAAAGTTGAAATTCACTTTAAATTATCACTTCAGTACATAAATAGGATAACATTTAAAATCTTAAAAAGTGACAGTTTCCTTTCACCCAGTCATCAAGAACCGGTGAAAAAACAAACAAAAAAAAAAAAAAACGTTTTTTTCCCCCATAGTCTACTTAAAATTATAAAAGATTTTAAAATGTACTTACGGGTAATAAAAGACCATTAAACTTAATCAGTACAATGAGCCAGCAACTGCCGACGAGTGCACACATGATTCCTTTGCAAGAGTATTTATTTTATAATTTAGTAGGAAGTAATTTAAAAAGTGATTTTATTAAATTTTTTTTTCTTCTTCATTTCAAGCTCCATATAAATCACTTAACATTCCTGCAACATGACGAGGAGGCACATCAAAAGTGCCTCCAAAAGCAAGGTTATGCTTGCACAGCATGTAAAGGTTATGTTTACACAATAAATAGTACATTATATTATGGAAAGGCTTGGGAAAACTTTCCTCTTTGGCTACACGTCAATCCATTACAAACAATTACCTGACACAAGTAACGGAAATGAGCGAGTTTCCACCGAAAACTGCGTTCATAAGCAATTTGTGGACCTTTTGTTCTGAAAAAAATAAATAAATAAATAAAATAAAAATCAGAGGCAAAGCTAAAGGGACAGTGACAATAATTAACACCCATAAATAAAATGTAAAACACCACTGTTTAGTAGATATACCTCAACATAAACAATGCATTTAATGATTTCATTTCATTGGGGATATATCTAAAACGGTTTGCAAAAGCTGCATTTCTCTTGTCTGAAGCCTTTGCAAGTCCTCCCCTTTCAACCCGTCCCAGATTTTCTGTGACTGTCCAATCACGGGCTTCCCAATGCAGCTCACTGAAGTTCTTGCAAGGCATGTGATCTAGGGTCTTAGTGTTCCTTTAACTTTCTAAGCATGTACTCAGCACAGTGTCAATTCTGATTCTCCTGCTGCTACTGGCTATAGTTTCCATAATTCTTGGCAGAGAAATAGGGGTATGTAGACGTACGAAAGCGGGAAGGTCCAGATTACAAACTCCAAGTGTAAAATATATATATCAAGAAGGGCTTAAATATCTTGCAGTGGAAAATGCCATGGCTCCAGCCAGCAAAACGGATACCAAATGGACTATTATCCAAGTAATATGTATTTTGATGCATTTTAATGAATTTCAGTTGTGGTATCACTTATTGATTTATTCTTTAATTAGTATGGGTGTACATATATGATACTAGTTGTAATGCACATTAGATTTGATTAAGACTTGATAAATGTTATCAATCTGTATCTTGTTTCCTATTAAAGCCTGCAAATGCATTGTAAAGTGCTTGGATCCTTTATTTCCCTTCTGTATCTACACAGAGTTTAGCCACCATTGTTACAACAGTGGGATCTTCAATTGTCTACTTTGCTGAAGTGTGCATTCCCCAATACTGTGGATCATTTGCTTATAAACGATGATAAAAAGGCCTTTGCAAAACATTTTGTGTTTCTTACACTGATGATTTCCCAGTACGTGGATCACTGAAAGTGGTTGTCTTTGTGTTGTGATCAACAAAGTACTTGACTCCCTCTCTTGTATAGCGGATTTCCCATCCCTCTGGAAGGGGATCTTCATTTTGTAAACTGTAAAAAAGAAAAAATTCCAGTTATTCTGGTCAGCACCTACAACATAATGTTCTATTCATGCAAAAAAGTGTATTGTTCTCGCATTTCCATTTATATGGAGACAGTGTCTTGGTCTACGTAAAGGGAAAAAACAGAGGAAATTATATATATCCCTCAATGCTGATAATGTGCACATTACAGTACTTTGTGTAAAGTTCTCCCTATCCCCATGTGCAATGCTAGCAGCTGTTATAATGCAGAGGAGTCCTTAATCCAAGAGGTCTTCCCTTGTATATCCCACCCACTGCGTACGGAGATAAGGTCTGGTTTATTGGTTTAAAAATAATCAAGCCATTGCAATGTACAGTACTATGTGAGATGAGCGTGACATCACATTAGATTATCTGAAACACATAAGTATTGAATAAATAGGTCGGATGTCATCTATATTGTAAAAGAAAGTGTTTAAGCAAGAGGCAGCTCACCAAAGATCAGAAATGGTGAGTGTCCATGGATTATTGGCAACAAAAATAAACAAACAGAAAAGCTAACAATTTTAACTACTGTTTGTATTACCTGAAATAACAACAGGGTAAAACAGCAATCAACAAGGGCTGGTACAAATATTGCTTTCTAACCAAACTGGAATCACTTAGTTAATAGTGTAAATTTTCAGAATGGCTATCTGAAAAACTCAAAACTACAATGAAGAAATGTCACTGAAAATGTATTTCCCACCACACAGAAAAAATGAAATGATTGCAGTCATGCTTCTCATACTCACCCTTGAGTTCGAGGGTCTTCCCACTGTGTTGTTTTTGTATTGTGATTTACAAAATACACTCTATCAGTAGAATCCACCCTTCGTTCTGGAACAAACCGGAATGGAACTTTAATTCTTATAAATTTGGGTTTGCAAAACAGAAAACCTTATTTTGTAATCTCTTACCCCATCCTGGTGGCAAAGGCCCAAGTGGATCATTTTCTGCTGACAACATTGACGCCTACACAAAGAAAATCAATTATAACTTAAAAAAAGAACATTGTAATAAAAAGTTACAAGCATTCCTCAAGTTAAAAATGTGATTGCATACTACTGCATGCACTGTGAAAAAGTCTTGATGGATTTCTCCCTACAGAGTTCCTGTCTGTTTAATATCCCACTAGGGGAGTTATTAGAAAAGTTACAAGCAGCTCTGAGAAATGCCTGAAGCTGAATATTTACAAGTACATTCATCTCAGGATCCTATATTAACCCCCATATGATGGTCTAGATCATCACATTGTGTAGGGCTTTAATGACCAGTGACGGCATAGACCGTCGTGCAGTAAAGGTACCAGCAGGGGATAAATCCCTGCTGGTACCCAGGAACCCAAGGTATCAAAACCCAGGAAGGGGCCCCAAACTGACTGATAAGATGTGAGCGCTGCTCCTAGATTAAACTTCCATCAACAGCAATGCAAAGTGCAAATACACTCATGTTGGGGAAATCTCATTAGCAACTTTGATGCTAAGTGAGTCTTACTGACCTATGGTGGGATATCACTCATAGCAATTTGTGGAAGCTCTCGAAAAAGGAAGATCTCCCCCAAATGCTTTAGCTTGTAGTAAAATTGGTAAAGAATCAATAAGTAAAATTTTGTTTCCAGGGCACTAATGACTTATGAGAATGACATTTTATAAATGAAAGCTTGAGACTGATCTAAACTTGAAAATGGTGCCATGGACCAAAGCAAAAAGTTTCTATTTTGCATTCTGTTTGGTTGTGCTCACTTTCCATCCTTCAGCAACAACCAGAGCATTTCTGCAGAATGCTTTAGGACAGTTGTTAAAGACCCATATCTACTTGGGCGCTACATATAGTCAGAGCATTAAAATACATGACTAATCAATACTATTTTTTTCATGGTTAAAATGATAATCCAAAATATGAGCTCATACAGCCCAACCAACCCATCTCTATTACAATGTATAGTAACTGCACAAAAAAAATTTATATGTCAGAGACAAATTTAATGAGGCTATCAACTGTGACATTATAAAAACACATGTGACCTACAGTCTATACCTACCGAATAGAGGTATCGTTGGTTGAACTGCTGCATAGCTCCCTGGAGTTGATTGCGTTGGGACTGCCACTGCTCAAAGTTTCGGACTGATTCCATGGTTGGCCGCTGCCATGTTGTGGTTCGTGTGTTATGGTCGACATAATAAACCCTTCCTCGATCATCAACTCTTCTTTCCCACCTACAAGATGCACAGCTTGTAATTATGAAGATACAATTACAGTTGGCTATACTTCTCAAATATGGAATGGTGTATTTTATAAAACTTGAGAAAGGAGAGCTAAAAAATGTGTAAATTGAAGGCAAAGTAGTAGAACCCAGTTTTGGATGTTCGTATTATGAAGACGTTCGTAGACAAATCACTGTGCATTCAGTTTCTAAATGAAAACTCAATGACCAAGCAAGTCACAACATAAGCAAACATTGCACTGCAAAAATATTTATAGACAATGGAGACTAAGCCAGTTGTGTAAAAACAAAATCAATAAATAAAAATCTTATCTGACAATTTAAGGGCAGGCAAAAGTGCACCACCTGTAGAACGAAACCTTAGGGTGGTATGTCCTACACTGACGAAGGTCTTCATAGGTCCAAGAGATTCCTCAAGTAGAACTTAGCATTTATAGTAACCAAATGACATTCCAAAAACACTAAATTATTGCCAAAAAAACCAAACTAAACACACATTAAATTGCACATCCATCAACAAACAGGGGATTTTTTGCACCGGGCTTCCGATGTTTATTACATTTTTAATATTTCTTTAGTTGACTGCACTGGCAGCTGGTTCTGTGCCCTATCGGAAAGACTACTAGCCAAATGGCTTTTCTTTATTTAAGTTTTTTGGGGGGATGAGTGGGTCGTTCTAGTGGAGGGGTCCTTTTCTTTACTTTAGACCCCCCTGGACAAGGTTTCTCTCCTCTATTGACATCTCTCAATAGGGTGGGGCAATTGACCCCCTCCCCCCTCCCCGAGAAAACCGAGGGTCTCCCTCTTTCCTGCCAGCACACGCAGGCGCTAGCCCTGCAACGTGCCTTCATGGACCAGAGAGTAAGATCAGAGATCTCCCTCCCCGGTCTGCAGGCACTGTGCTGGCAGCCGGCGGGGGAGGGAGAGAAAGAGGACCCGGGAGCTCAGCCTGCAGCTCCTCCGGGCCCTACTCTCGCGAGCACGGAGCATTGCCACGGTTACCACGGCAACGCTCCAAATCTCACAAGAGTGAACTCTAGCCCAGGACCGCGGGCCAGAGTTCACTCTAACCACTGGGCCACCAGGGAATCCCCACCAGACCACCAGGGACTAAGAAATGTCCCCCTCCTCCCAGTAAAGGTAAGAAGGGAGGGGGGACATAAATATATTTATTTTAATTAAATAAAAAAATGTTAAAAGTATATTATAAAAAAAAAAAAACCCTAGTCTTATCACACACACTGCCCCCCCCCATTATCACTACACTGAGCTGTAGTGGTTATTGTGTCTGGATTTTTTATTTAAATAACCTACAAGTGCCACTCCTGAGATAAGGCTCTGGATATGCCACTGTTTCCAGCCGGAGGTTTATTATTTTTGCAGTCTCTTTGGATTTCAATTCCCTAGTTTATAGGGTGTTTCTGTGTGTCTTGATTCTATTTTTTTGTCTTTAATAAAGTTTATTATTTTGTAAGCTTTTATACTGATTATTGAATAGGGGGTAGTTATTTTAAGGAATCCTAGCCCTAAATTGAGGGGTGATTTTTCCTCATTATTTGGAGTGACTATAGGTTTAAGGGTTATGCCCTTTACTACCCCTGTAACCCTTTCTTCTATTTTTCTGGCAGAGAGTTTCTCTGACTGGAGGTAGTATATGTATTATGCTGCAAATAAACACTGGATGCACAGTCCTAAAAGTGGTTAAATAAAATGTTTTAATATATTGGCCTTTTTCTTACAGTATTACTATTAATTTAGTTTGTTTTTTTCTTGCAACAGAACCACTTAGTTACATGTATTCTGCAGATAGTCTTATACGAGACTGTGGTATTGAATATGTCCCACTGCAATGCACCATAGTAGAATCCAAATTACAGGTAATCTGATCCCATACCACAAGAGGTCGCCATTTATCTACTGAAATTTATGTAACCAACTATCATGGTGATTTGGATAAAACAATATTTGAAAAAGACATAAAAACAAAATCTCTTCTGTAGGTAATGGAGACAATTTAACCTTCATGCATTGATTAACAAGGACTGTGCCGGCCCATATCCCCAGAATTCTGCGTATACCACCATGGGTGAGGTAGGCAAGTCTCCAGGGTTTAAACAGATTATGGGATTGCATTATAGAATCACAGAAACCGTCTAAATATCAGACCAATGCATTCTCACAAACTCACCAAATTTACAGCACACACTTGTATGTTTCAGTAGAATTTTTGCACCTAGTTGCAAATGTTACAATGATTATAGCAAGAGTTTGAAAATTCTCCCAGAATTAAGAGGACAAGATTGCAAACTCACCAGGATCAAAGCACATGCTCATAAATCTCAAATAGTAAAATATGTCCCCCAGAGTAATGCAAAGAGGTGAATTTCAGAGAAAGTGTGATAGCACAATGTATATGGTTTTATCTTTGTTACCAGGGCTCTTTTAAATATATTTTCCAGTTCATACTATTCTCATTGGTGTTGGTAGTGTGTTGAGACAGATTTGTTTTGGAAAACAAAATTCAAGTCACATTACCCTGGAGGCAAAGGCTGTGGACGCTCCCACGTTGTAGTCCTTGTATTGTGGTCTACATAGTATGTTCTGCCATGAGGATCCTTTCTTTGTTCCCATCTGTAAAAATATGAGGTTATAAAGACACACACACAAAAAGATATTGGTTTTACATATGCCTAATGCTTAAACAATGGTACTCCGGCTTAAAGGGCATTAAGCACCACAGCGACTCACTGTATTGATTATGCTTTCAGGAGATAAATCATTTTTGAATGACATCCAGGATACCTAGGTAAGTTGTAAACCATTTGAAGACCGTTCGATTCTTAATAGGAGGACTAAAGTGAACTGCCAGATTGTTCGCAGACTCATAACGGAGTAAGATTTCTAAAGGTACTTATCTGTGGAAAGGATGCTTTTAAAGCAGAGTGTGATATTTTTTCTAGATTCCTAACAGACATGTTCAACATTAGTAAAGGCACATTGGCATATTTGTGAATTCTGTTTTTTTTTTTTTTTTTTTTTTTTTTTAAATAACACCTTGTGAAAATGAACCTTAAACTGGAATCTAAATAAAATAAATGATATCCATATATTGGTTAGATGTCAAATATTCTATAAATTGTATTTTGAGATTTATCTCCCCCTTTCAGAAGATCTCCCTTTTGTATTGCATTGTAATAAGAAATGATGCAGGTCAGTGAGGTATGTACCACCAAACGCATACACGTCCAGGTCCTTGAACATCATGAGAGTATTCAGGAGAGCCCCATTACACAAAAAGGAAACACTGGTCGTTAAGTAGTTTTAACTTCATATTTTTAGTTAAAATTTCACTATTACAAGGACAGCCTGAATTATGATTTTCATCCTCATTTCATGTTTTGCACATGTCCATAATATCTCATGCTGTTCACATGTACTCTGGTGACACAAACCAAAACCAACTTCTTACAGTTTAATAATCTAAATGCTTAAAAGCAAGCAAAGGGGTGAAAACTTCCCAGTTCTTGGGCACTCACAATTTTGAGCAACGGCAGAAACATTTTCACCTCTGATAAATATTCATCAAAATAAATAAAAATAAAAAAAAAACATTAATTCTATTATCACTTTGAAAACACACAAACTGCAGGCTGGAATGAGTATGCGAAGAGAGGACCACACTGATATGCCTGCACTGCAGACACTGTGGAGGAGACGTGACAGCTCTCTGGTCCATGATCATTAGCCGTCTGCAAAAACAAAAAAATACATCCGCATACCCAGGTGGCAGGGGCTCTGCAGTGCTGCTAGGTTGCTGTCTTACAGGATCCACAGAGGCAGTAGCTGTCGATTGCCTTGGTTTCAACGCTTCGGGACTGGTGCTGCCAGCAGCAGATGACGACACAGAGTCTGTAGCCCTTGCAGGTTCAGGTGCAGCATTGACTGTACTGTTTACTGTGGATGTGCTGCTTTCTGAAGTGCAGGCCACCTGTGTACCTGCTGGGTCACTTGTATTGTCTGTGCAATCTGATATGAATGATCCTGCAGGGGCTGCTAACACTTCAGGACATGATGTGCTATTGGCTTCACTTGCAGCAGTTGTGCCGTTAACTGAAAGGGAAAAATTAACACATTTCAGAAAAGAATTTGGGGCTTCAAACAGCACTCTAACAAATTAGCATCTTTTCCACTTGGAACAGTAACAATAAACTGTCAAGCACAAACAATATGTAATTACTTTACAGATCACGGGTTGCCAAAAGATATATTAAGAGCCAACAAAGTAACTTTTAGCCGCCTCTGTTGCAGACTAAAATACATTTGTTGTACCTTGCGCTAGATACACTAATTGTGGTATAAAGAACGTGGAGATTTTGAGCTTACATGAAAGGTCTAATTGACAGGTGTGCTAATTCAATATAGCTACACACATTTAGGTGCTTCCACAATGCCTAGAATTACTGTACATGTGACTTGAACAATTATTTACTTTATTAAATATACAAGTAATGCATAGAATTTGCTAAACCAGCAACGTGTCCTTGGGACAAGAATGAAATGTTCATTTCTGTTGCCCTTCACAAAAGTCTTTCATAATTGGGGACAAGATTCTTAAACACTCGAAGTCTGGAACAATTAGTCTTTTCAATGTGTGTTTTTTTTGTTTTTGTTTTTTTAACCCTTTAAATGGCCACCATACAGGGACACACATATCCTAATGAAGTGCCAATGTAACATTGAAAAGGGGCGACTGTGCTTAACACTGCATTGCTAGGCAATTCTAAATAGATGAAAAGAGAAAATCCCTTGTTCACCACAGGGAAAAGAGAAATGTTTTCATTCTCAATGACTGTAAATAAACGTTTTTAAATGCTTGACTTATTGTACTAACATTTTGGAAACTCAAGGCTTTGGAGAATTGATGAGGTAAACACATATATTGGGCCAAACTAGCATAGTCCAAAATAAAGAAATGTTAACGATGGATAAATAAGGGAAATACATTTTCATCTGTTGCAAACCTGTGTGTGATGCGACTCAAGTCAGAGTGTGCATACCGTTGACCAGGCATAACCTGCAAATACAGGCTAGCAAGGAATCATGGGAGATGTAGTCCTAAACCAGCTGGGGTGTAATATTTAATCACACTTGTGCTTCTAGCTCAGTGGAACAAAGCAAAAATGTCATTATGTGCTTACTAATTTGGATGTTGAAAGAAGGGCAGTGACGTAAAAGCACTTCTGAGCAAAAACAGGCCGTGTCCTTCACCATAAAGGGGTTAATCAAACACTAAATGCATGGCACACAAAGCTTGCGTTGTAAATTTAGACCTTCTGGCTCACGGTCTTGTGACAGAAAGCTTGTATTTGTGCCAAGATATTTTCATTGCCCAACTTCCACTCGCAAGGTAATTATTTGCCCCACACTTATTCTACAATGAACAGCCATTCAAGGATTTCACAGCACGTCTCACTTTAGTGCCAAACACTGTCATTTTATAGACTGCTAGAAGTTATTGGTATTTAGTTAAATGGAAAAGTATTATTGTGTGCCTACCAGTCCTACTGCCCGTCTGAGCATTAAGTGGATTTGGTGCTGGTGTATTTTTGGGTCTGGCTGCAACGTGAGGAGAGGAGTGGGCGCCGTCTCGGTTTGCTATTTGTGCATTAAAGGCATTCTGTTCTGTGTAACCGGATGGGGTTTCACTAGATGTCCCGTTGGGAACGTCACCAGTAGAGCTTCAAAGGAGATATATTTAAAAAAAAAAAAAGAAGGTTATTAATTCACATCTAGTGATAAGTAAACAGTAGTAAGTGGAAACGGAGATTAATAACAACACGTGTTTAATCCCATAACGAAACCCCGTCATCAGTTGGCAAAGTAACCAACTGTAAGCCCTCTAACAAGCAGGAAAAAAAGATACCACACCGGGGTGTGAAAACAGGAAATATTTAAACACCATAAGCAATAAAAGAGTTAACTACCTGACAATTCAAATATATTGATGATAATGGCAAGGATACAATGTTTCAAAGTCACCAAATGCAGAATAAAGCAAAACATAGACAGACAGAAGGGATAGATTGTGCTACAAGTTCTAAAAGAACTCAGAAAAAAAGAACCCAGCCTTTAATTATATCATATAGATATATATACCCCCACATCCCCTTATTTCAGGTTTTGACGGTAAACTGTCTTTTTTTATTATCAAGGATAAAAATTTAAAAAATAACAATGATAAAGCCACAGACAAAAAAAAAACTAATGTGGTTACAGGAAATGGAAGTAATACTTTTCTATAAGTATGTGCCGATCTTGGAGTTTGAATGCATCAGCATGTAGAAAGGGATCATGTCATCACCATATTCTTCCAAAGAGGGCATCACAGGAATGTCATAAATAGCTGGGAGAGGTTTACATGTGATGTGTGATGCTCCAGCTGTTAACTAATAGGAACTTTAGCAACCTGGTTCATCAGCAAAGAAAGTGTGAATGTGGTCTCTTTCAGCTTAATTTAGTTGATAAAATACCTCCTACGCTCCTGCATGGCAATTGTGTTCAGCATCACCATGCTGTACATAAAGATGCCAAATGCAAATTTCTTAAAAAATGCAGGTCTTGATTAGGAAGTGCCTCTACTGATCAATTGTCTGCCACTAATCGCTTTCTTTTAGACCAACCTAAACAGACATTTATCAGAAAACCGTAATGTTTCACAGATTATTGACCCCCAAAAAATAAAATCTTTTTTAAATCAATAGGGACGTACTAATTGGCGGCGACCCTGCCCAGTGGCACTAAGTGCTTCCGGTAAGATACAGATGCCTGATGCTGCCGGGGTTACCTGCATATAGGTACTGGAGGCAACTTTTGATGTTAGATTTTTCGCAAATGCTTTAACCCCTTAAGATAAGAATGCACATTGGGGACTCCTGGCACCATAACAACTTAATTTAGTTGAAGTTGTTATGGTGACTGGAGAGTCCCTTTAAATGTCCAACTCTTACACAACTAGCCAGACTTTATAAGACCTGCCTTACAGTATTTAGTAAAAGACTAAGTGACAAAACAAGCACACGCACGAGGACCGTAAATTAGATTTGTAATGAAATTAATACAGGGACATGAAACATCAAGACCTAATTTATATGAAATATTGTGTGTGATTTGCAAGTCAGTGAGGGAAATGTAGTACATCCGGCAAGAATGTATTTTAAAAAGTGGATCATACCTCCTTCTTGCCTCCAAAGATGTTTCAGCTCCGTTTTCACGAATAGCATCACCATTTTGCTGGATTTCTACTACAAGTACAAAAACAGAGTTGTGTTTTTTTTGTTTTCCATTTGATAAAAAAAATAAAGGAATAATATCAAGTTATGAAACTTACTGAGTGGAGGAGATGTTGATCTGGTATTGAGGGATTCTGGTTCTACAATCAAACCATCTAAAATAATGCTTAATTCACCCGTCTGGACAGTGCCATGCTTGCCCTCCAACGAAAGCTTTAACTGCTGTTTTACTTTGTCCACTGACAAAGATAGAAAATGTGATTAGCAAATCAACAGATAATATAGAACCCATACATGGGTATCCATATCACATTCTTCAATGATCACCACTCTCTTTCAAAGCATTATAGAGAAATCCAACATTTTCTGGATCCTTAACTTTTTGTGCTTTTGTAATGACATTATTTAAGGCACAAGAAACATTGCTGAAATATTTGGGTACCACACAAACCAGCAAAATGAGGTAACAGAACATAAAAAGGTGAGCTCTATAGAATAGATAATGCTTTTGCCACTCTTTGTATACAGAGACTGCATTGTATCGTACCTGCTGTTTATGCAGTGTGTGCTGTTGAGAATTCTAAATCCACTAATTAAATGGGTTAGAGTACATGAACACACTAAGTGTATATACATTTAAAACATTATTAGAATGCCATAACAACTACACAAAACAAACCATGTAAACAAGAAATGGTTGACAAACCATGTAAAGAATAGAGTAGAATTTGGAGAGGTGGTTACTGAAATGAGCTTATTACAATGTTAATGTCTGCATACGCAGCCTTAGCGAATAGGGGGCAAGTGCACAACATCCTGTTTATCAGGTTAATAATGTGATCGAGACACTGTTTTTGCAATAAAATATCTCCTTAAATCATACATTTGACGACTCAATTTTGGTGTTTCTCCTTTTTGTGTTTTCTTTTGCATTCCAGTTTGATACAGTGAGTAGAAAGTAGAAAAAGAGGTGATCCAAAGTCTTTTATGGTTACACCATGACCTTTGGAAGTGGCTCTGAAACGTGTGAGTCAACAATTTATAGTTTACATGGACAGCAGCATTAGTAAAACATTGTACTTTCAGGTTTTATGACTTTTTATGCTTTACTAAATTTTTAATACTGACATTTATTCTGTTATAGCGATCAACTTTTTAGTTTTATTGGTGTGTTAAGGGGAGTTGTAATGTAGAGCTCTGTTGCTGTTGATATTTTGTTATAATTAACACAATAAGATTTTTTTTTGATTTACTGAACTCGTTATATCAAATCAAAATAAAATAGTTTTTCAGTTAGTTCACTATTCTGATGTACAATCTATCAAAAGTGATTTCCTCTTTAAAATAACATTAACACACAAAACCCACATATCTGTTTCCAGCCATTTACCGACACTCACACTTGCTATTGTGGGTTTCCAAGGCTTGTTTTAAGTCTACAAAGGTTTTTCCAAGCAGTGCGTCCGCTTTCAAAGTATGGTGACTCCATACCTTAAATTCAAGTGTGGTTTCTGGCGTTACGTTCCTAGAGAGAGAGGGAGGAAGGGGGGGGGGAAGTGAAAGATAACCACCTTACTGAAAGAAAAAACAAAACTGTACAAAATCAAGTACTACTGCAACCAGAGAGTGAAGTAAAGTTGGAAACATTTCACCAAAGGGCAGCATTAGAACGTGCCTTCTAAGACTTCAGTTAGGTTCCAGAACCTCTCATTTAAAAAACAAACAAAACATTTTTAAATTCTGATGGCATGATAACAGTGTTTCTAGGAAAGAAGAACACACTCAGAAAAGGGTTTACTTACCAATAAATCCTTTGCTTGTAAGCCCGTAGTTAGCGTGGACATTTGGGTTTATCCTATCGGCTGATAGCTGGAGGCAGGACAAAAGAAGTAATCCTTGTGACTCCTCCTCCATGACATAGCCTTATTCTACTCTAGATTACTAATCCATGTATATTGAGCAGTCTGGCCGTATTAAGAAAAAAAGATGAAGGAGAGTCTAAAAAAAGTAAGCCGAACAAAAAATATTACAAGAACAGGGTAGGATGTCTTGCTTAACATACGGGTTTACAAGGATTTATCTGGTTTTATTGTCTTTCATCAATGCATTTAGTGCAGATTTGAAAGAACTCCTCCTCAAACACAGATTGGAGGCAGAGCATTGGTCTGCTGTGTCCAATGAGATGCTTTTTATAGAGAAGCATCACAGCCATATGGCGCATGCACAACTATAGCTGCACTGCAAAAATATGACTAGAGCTCAGAAATGACACCGTTTTCATTCGGCACGGCTGCAGGGGCAACACATTCCTCCCAAAAACGTGATGCCAAGACTGTTAATTCACGTGTCCTTTAAAACCAATCCGTATAGCCCTCTTGGGTTTCTAAATCAGGAACGCCTTCAAAATTTTGTTTAAAGTGATCATTTTGATAAACTAGAGAAACCTTCACCACTTCACTTTCATTTCCCAGTCGGCATTCAACTGGCAGTAATGCATATGGCAATAAATGTTCAGTTTCAGATAAATATAAACCAGCCTAATTGCTTCCATATCCTTTGTGTATATACATTTTTAGCTGCACTGACTATCTATTAAATATAAGGACACGATCATTGATTTTGTTGCAAACAGTGTATTTTTTATAAAATATTTCTGATGCATGTCTTGGAAAGAGCAAGCTATTGAATCTGAGTTTTCAGAGTTCTCGTATTCTCTGTTTTTGCTATATATGTAAATGGTATAGGTTCACTTTTTCTAAGAGCGTCCCATTCCCATTGTTCTCATATTTTAGTTTTTAACTTAAGTGCTTTGCAAAGGACCTTAAAGGGACACTTTAAACATTGTTTAGGCACCACAAACACTACGACACATTGTCCCTAAGTGCCATGCCCCATTTTATTGTTAAACAGTTTCCAGTAGGTTTAACAGAAATATATGATCCCTGGGCTTCACAGCCAGCCCCCCTCTGACAAAAATGAGTTACACTCCACCTTAAACCATACCAAATTATATTAGACAGAGGCCAGCAATAGGTTTAAAGTCTAAAAGGAACAGTGGTATGAATGAAGGACAACAACAACAACAAAAAAAAGTCTCAGAGGCACTGCTATTCAAAAGAAGGACACCTAGTAGCTATGTCAAAACATCGTATAGGCAGCAAATATATTTCTGCTCACAGATGTGAGTTTCTAAGGGAACCATGCAACTGACAGCAAGAAAATACCATATGGTCACCGGCTCTGGTCAGTTGGCAAGTTGCTATGAATCCATTCATTTTAACTTCACAAGCAACTTTCTCATATAAGTAGACTCACGGATGGCCTTCTAGAAAGCAAAATGGTTATAGATACAAATATCCAGACACACCTGATGGTTTCTTCCAGAAGGCAGTCTTTATTTGAAAGAAAGGCTCATTATTGTCTCCAATTCTGTGTTCCAAATTAAGACTGCCTTTTAGAAGAAACCATCAGGCGTGCCTGGTGATTTGTATCTACTACCTTTGAACTTCTGTGGAGACCTAATCCTCCCTAGCACCCTAGTGGAAATACTCCCCCGTTTTAATGTGTGTGCACTACTCTCTCCTATTAGTAGCAGAAGGCTTTCCCAATAGAAATATGCTATTCATCATCGGCATAAACATAACAGAAAAAGTGGGTGAGAATTGGCATTTCCCCAGAGTAATTAAGCTGCATTTAAAAGAGAAATTTACCAAACTGAATAAAACACCCCTAAAAACTTATACTTTTTTTCATGTGATACTCCATGGTCTTTTAAATGTAGGTTAATGATTTAGCAAATTACATCACAATTTCAGTACTGGCACGATGCAAACAGTAGCAGAAAAATATTAGGACATATTTAATCCAGTGATGAAATGGTCCCTCACCACTGCTTTGCCTCTGGGAGATAATCAGCACTGATGATCTATTGGCTAATTCAATGCTTCTTATAGGAAAGCATAAGGACAGAGGAACACATGCACAAGAATTGCAATGCCTGTAATAATTCTAACTGCAAAGCATTGAAAACGGTCAGAAGTAGTGACCTAGTCCTACCATACTGGTGCACAAACCCAGTGAGGAATTGCAAATCCCCACTGTCTCATTAACACCTGAGAGGATGCAACTTTGCAAAAGTAAAATTGTCACTTTTATAAAGGGTTAAAGAGTGTAAAACCCCTACATTACTTCAGCAAGTTTTTTTTTTCTTAGTGTATTCTGACAGATTTAAAGGGATACCATATACACCAAAACAACTTTTGCTTTATGAAGTAGTTTTGACGTATAGATCATTACTCCATAGTCTTACTGCACAACTTTCTGCAATTTAGAGTTACACTTGTTTATGTTGCCCTAGCCAACCTCCACTGACAGTGACTAACATAACCTCCACGAAAAATAGCTTACTTTATAATCAGATTTTACAGCACTGTGTTTACTTTAGACGTTTTTAATTGCCTGGTTTGTTAATTAAATTGCGTCCACACACACACGAGGCTCCTGGATGCGCCGGCACACCATTATCAGAGTAAAAGATACAGAATTTCAAGTTCAACACACTGTGCAATAAAGGAAGTATAACATTTTATTCTCACTTTGCAGGAAGTGTGAAGGAAGGCTGTGTGAGTTGGTGTGGCTTGGGCTGCAAAAACATGTGATTTAACAGTAAAACCACTTTATTAAATTAGAATTGTTTAGAGCTTAGACTGTCACTTTAAGCAGACACTATGTACCAAAAAAATTGTCTTTAAAGGGATCCTATAGTACCAGGAAAACAAAGCCGTTTTTCTTGCACTATAGGTTCATAAGGAGCCCCTCTCCCACGCGCCCCCACCTGCAGGGCTGAAGGGGGTTAAAACCTCTTCAGTCACTTAGCTGATTCGAGCGCCGATGTCCCACGGTGTTGGGTCCGGGTCTGCGCCCACACACACACCACCCAGCAGGGGGACCTAATGCACATGCACAGCAATGGCCACGTTTGCATTAGGATTGTGAAAAATCTGACACTGGAGATAATGGACCAATGGTCCGTTTTGATTCCGAAGACGCCCCACTAGCGGTCTGGTAGACAGCAATGTTTTACATTGCAGCACTAAGTGAAATAGGGACACAGCACCCAGACCACTTCAATTAGCTAAAGTGGTCTGGGTGCCTTTAATGACAAATGTAAATAGACTGTTTGACAACCCCTCATCCACCCTATTTTCTAAACGTTATTTTTTTTGTCTGTCCTACTTTTCTACTAAGCACTTTATCTTCTTCATGTGGTAATGAAATATGACTTCTTCAGGCTCTCGGCAGCTTTAATAATCTTTACGATGAGACCATTCATTCTTTTGCCTTACTTAATTGATACATAGTTGTCTTATTAATATTATTTTACAAAACTGTTATTTTTTTATCGTACTGTGAAATAATTTTAATATCTTTCTCTCTCTACATATACACACATATATATATATATATATACACACACACACGTTAAATATAAAGTGGGTAAACAAGAAAGCATTATGTTACACATCATTTGAAGTGACAGCTCTCCTTTGATGTTACCTATATCTCTTTCAAATAACAGAAGTAATAACGGGACATATAAAGTAAAGAATGCATACACAGTTAACTGCTCCTCCCATTTTGGATTACTTGAGCTGCTCGATTTTGCAGTCTTTTTTGTCTCGCCATTGACAGCCAGTTCCGTATACACTGTAGTTCCAAACCAATTCTTTTTTCTCTTCAGTTTGGCACAGGACACTATGAAAAAGAAATAGAATGTTACTTTGATCCTTGTTAGTAGCAAAGGTGGTGTATGTCACTCAAGTCACTCAAATCCTAACCAAGCTACTAAAATCAGAAAAATAAAATGTAGAATTTAGCATAATCACTGTTCCTCAGTTGACCCAGGGACAAAGCAACCTCTGCTATAACAGATACTAGGAGGGTGGCAAAACATAAATTGGTAGAAGTCAGAGAGAAACCACAATCACAATAAAGTGAGATTTGAAAGCGAATTTCACATTTAAGGCCAGTGTAGGTATCCTGAAAGCATTGCTCACAGAGAACTTTTCCGGTTTCACTATATTGACCTTATATTTGAAATGCACTTTGAATGCTCACTTTAGTGAAAAACCTTGACAATGTTTCTTATTTCTCCTCGTCTTTGCAATGGGTACCAAGCTGGATTGTGAGGTCTTCTTTAAATCTATGTTATATCTATGTTATATGAATTTAAACGAGAATTGAGCACTTACCTATAACTTTAAACGTGGTTGGTCTAATACCTTAATGTCTGGTAAAAACTAGTATCAGAGTTTTGGCAGATTATCGATGATATGCAATTTTATTTAAATCCATTCACGGAAATTATGTTATGTGCCATTTAATAGAGATTTGACAAATTTCAATATTTAATATTAATGCCAGCTTTCTTTTTTCTTTTACAGTTCAGACAATGATGCCAATCACATCTTGTTCATGGCAGGACTAGGTCACTACTTCTGACAGTGGGTTATTTAATATTCCGTTTAATTCAGAGACGAACACGCAGACATTCTATCAGTACGATGATTAGCTCTCATTACAAATTAATTCAGACATGTCACAAATTGCCTTAGGATGTTGGCAAAGATACGCAAATTCTATGCAAAGAGTGCCTTGCCGACTTACCAGGGTTACACAAATACTGCACATATAGTTTTATACATACCTGCCAAATTTAAGACCAGAGTGGTTTGAGATTTATAAAGTGTTACCTTGATATTTGTAAAAATAAAGAATTACATTTTGCTGCAATATTCATGTAATATAGAGTCAAAAGTCTGTGTTAGTCACCATAAAAAGAATGGGATAGTTGGTATATCAAGTCCTACCAGAAGCATGAAAATCCCTAATAAATAGACATCAGGTAGCCCAACTATACAAATGGACCACTTATGACAGACAATTGAGTAGAGATAGAAAGTTCCTCCTAAATGATTGCAGCAACAGGTTGAAGGATCATGTCTGCTACTGCTGCGTGGAGTGAGGTGGTCAAGGTGTGCAGCAGAAATAAATTATACTTAAATGAATTGGTCCCCCTTGGTTTCCGCAATCTTCTCTCTTCAACTCTTTTTTTTATGTTCTAGAAGCCCACATCAGTGTGGAACAATACTGATGATCTCAAGAGTGCCACCAAAGATCATGTCTCACAAAGAGCTGGACAATATCAGATTTCTATATCCAGGGCCAAAGATTGCAGTGAAAATTTACACAACCTGATGGAAGTCCCTCGTTTAAACTTGAGACTTCACTATAAGTACAGCCTACTCTGTGTATTCTATCGTTTCACTATGTTGGAATATTAATGGATTTTCAACACTGTTAATAGAAGATAAGAAATGCTTAGACTTTTTTGGTGTCAGGGCGAAGTTAAAACTAATGTGCACATATAATAATTGTATTTAATAATTTTAGGGTTAAAGGGATACTCCTCAGCCCCTCATTCAGTATATCGCTAGTACTAAGCTATAAGTAACCATTTTTATGCATTACATAGAGCGTGCATTAGAATGTGCAAAAATAATACATTTAAACATCTCATCCAAAAAATACTGTTTAAAGTATGTAGGTCACAATTTGTAAAATGAAATGTGAGCATGCTTAACATTCTGAAAATGCTATGCAATTCTCCAGCTATTAGTAACACTCAAGGCAAAGATATTCTTACAGTTACTGCCTGGATTGAATCAGACTGTGACGTAAATTATTAGTGAGAAATAAGCTTTAAAGAGATGACACTAATGCAGAAATTCTAATAAACTGTAACCAGCTCAGACAGGACTCTTATAACTAACCCAATTGCAACAATGTATGTCATGTACAGTTTTATTGGCCTTTACCAAATCAAGTGTTTCGACTTCAATTTTGTACAAACGCTTATTTATTAGATCCCAGCAGAAACCTTTTGAAATCTGTTCAAATGCTTTCCAGCTTAATGCTTCACATCCACCCTGAAAAGCACAAGGCAATCAGAAGAGAGAAGGTTGCATTTTTACTGCTGCTGCCCAAATCACTTTAGTGACAAATCATATACACACACAAAAATTGAATACATTTTTATGGCATATAATAATGTTCACCTTAAAGAGATTCTAAGGGGTAAGGAATACAAAGTTGTATTCTTTGGGTGTCAACGTCCTGTTTCCTGCAAAATGCTTCTGTGAAACCTTTATTAAAAGTTGAACATGTTATATACCAGTACATATACACATACATACACACACAATAATGCATGTCCCTCCCTCCCCCTCTATTTAAATGGCCAGCATAGATTAAACCCCTTAAGGACACGACATGTGTGACATGTCATGATTCCCTTGTATTCCAGAAGTTTGGTCCTTAAGGGGTTAAAGGGACACTATAGTCACCAGAACAACTACAGCTTATTGGATTTGTTCTGGTGGGTAGAATCATTACCTTCAGGCTTTTTGCTGTAAACACTGTCTTTTCAGAGAAAATGCAGTGTTTACATTACAGCCTAGTGATAACTTCACTGGCCACTCCTCAGATAGCTGATAGAGATCCTTCCTGGGTCATGGCTGCCTATAATGCATCCAAACATTCAGTGTCTCCTCCCACTGCATGCAGACACTGAACTTTCCTCATAGAGATTCATTGATTCAATTCAACTCTATGAGGAGATGCTGATTGGCCAGGGCTGTTTGAATTGTGCTGGCTCTGCCCCTGATCTGCCTCTTTGTCAGTCTCAGCCAATCCTATGGGGAAGCACTGTGATTGGATCAGGCAACCACTTCTGATGAGGTCAGCAGACCGCTTGTTTTTTTTTTGTTTTTTTTTGAGGCAAACAACATGCAGAGTTACAGCTTCTGGCTTGCATACAGTAAGATTTTGCTATATTTATGGAGGCATGAGTGGCCCAGGGGGGCTAGATGGTGGTTTTAACACTATAGGGTCAGAATACATGTTTGTGTTCCTGACCCTATAGTGATCCTTTAATTTACAGCAGTTCTTTCCCCAAACATTATGACAAATGCTCACACAAAGTCACTTCATTAGGGCTAAAACAAAAGGAGTATGTTTCTCACCACAATTGGCTGAACATGTTGATAGCACAGTTTTCTATAATAGTCTAAAAATAAGCAAAAATCTAAACATAAGCTATAAATCAGGCAGCAAATAAAAGTTGTGATCTCAAAAGGCACGAATGATAGCAACAGGCACAAGATGAGACCATAAACAAAAGGCCCACAGTGCAGAAAAAAATATAAATAAAAATTAAGGTCATTTACAAGCAATTTATACACTTTTTCTCATTGATAATTTCCCTACAAATGGGACAAGGTACCCAGCACATTAAAGGACAACTATCAAATTCCTACTGTTCATTTATTATATTTTTCACTTAAAAAAAATAAATAAAAGAAAGATTCTACTGTTATCTGACCAACTTCTGCTCAAACTACCTTGGCATTCTGATGTCGTTTCATACAGAGCAATCACAGCAGTGGGTAACTTGGACTGAGCAGCAGCTGGTCTTATAACAGTAGAGTCTGACTCAACAAGATGAATTGAAATTGTAAAAACCAAAAGAGGAAAAGGTCTGACTTTGAGCATATACATAATGTTTACAAACTAGCTTTCAAAAACAGATATTTACGGTGCTTTCCATTATTAATTTTTTTAAGATTTTGCACACAAACCGGGTTATTTGCTAAAGTGAGAATTGCCAGGAATTCAAAGTGAATTGCAATTTTAAGGCCAAAGAAGCAGAACTAGAGGAATAGCTTGAATTCTTCCAGTCCAATTACTTAAGCCTTAATTTTGAAATTAACTTTGCCACAAATGTAACTTCTAACTCTCATTCTACTTCTATCATACTTTCAGGTTTAGGTACTAAAGTGAGCAAAGAGTTTTAAACAAGTCAGTGGTCAATGCCAAAACAAACATGGGTGGAGACAGGACTAGGAGACTTAAAGGAGCACTATAGTGCCTATAGGGTTATTAGGTCTCCCCTCCCTCAGGGTCCCCCTTCAGCCACTTACCTTAATTAAGCGCCGGCCTCCCTTGGCGCTGGTGACCTCTCCTCCCCTGCCGATGTCAGCTCCTGAATGGAGCCGCATGCGCGGCCAGAGCTGCGAGCGCATTCAAACCACCCATAGGAAAGCATTACTCAATGCTTTCCTATGGGGACCTGAACTCACGCTGCGTGAGACCAACGCGATTTTCACACGAAGAATCACGGAAGCTGCCTCTAGTGGCTGTCAGGGAGACATCTACTAGAGGCTGGATTAACACTGCAATGTAAACAGAGCATTGCTGTTTTTATGAATGTGGACACCGCAAGACTCAACAAGCCATGAGGTGCCATGTTGAACTTCCAGTGACCAGTATGAGAGAGTGTGAGAGCGATAACACCAAATTTAACACACCTGCTTCCCATTCACATCTGAGACTTTGTAACACTAACGAGTCACATGACACTGGCGAGGAAAAATGGCTAATTGGGCCCAATTTGGACATTTCCACTTAGGGGTGTACTCGCTTTTGTTGCCAACGGTTTAGACCAGGGATGTCCAAACTCTGGCCTCTCCAGATGTTGCTGAACTACAATTCACATGATTCTTTGAATGGAATACACAGCCAGAGAATCATGGGAGTTGTAGTTCAGCAACATCTGGAGGGCCAGAGTTTGGACATCCCTGGTCTAGACATTAATGGCTGTGTGTTGCGTTATTTTCAGGGGACAGCAAATTTACACTGTTATACAGGCTGTACACTTACTACATTGTAGCAGAGCGTCATTTCTTCAGTGTTGATATAAAATATTTACAATGTGAGGGTTCACTTTTGTGAGATACTGTATCACTAAATTGTAAGTTATCAAGCAGTGTCCTATTGTTCATGTAACATTTTGTAATTGTCTTTTTTATTGTTAAGTTTCACCCTTTATAAAATATACATAACCTTTATACAATATTGTAAAACTGAGGAAGAAGTTGGAGTTATAGCAATGTGAATAATAATAATCTAGAGATATCAAAAGAACACTACAGCGCTAGGAATACAAATGTTTTCCCAATGCAATATTGTCCTGTTAGAAAAACCTTTAGGTCCCCGGCTCCCCCTTAAACAAAGTCAAAAGCACTTTTACTTCATTTTTCTCCCTTACAGATAACCAAAAGCATGTTTTTACAAGAAACAAACAAACACAAAAATATTAGATTACTTTTATAGTTTGGGCTGACTTCATTGCTTATTCCTGTGATAAACATTTTACAAATAACGTGTCACTGCTATTCTCACTGAAACAGATATCTTCCCATTGGTTTCCTTTTAATATAAAAAAAAATATATAATAATATAACAAAAATGCTTGCCGTGCTCCTGTCCAACAGTTACTTATAACTGCAGCACTTGGCAAATGTCACTGCAGGTAGAAGACTGCCCTTTTTCTCAGAAAGCTCAGTGGACGAAGTTATATATGCGCACAAGGGATAACTATATGTGTAGCATGTACACTTAACATGGGTGAACACCATTCAGAGCCCTACCTGTTCTCACCACTATTTGAGACAGCATGATTTGCAGCTGCACGCGGGTACAGTCTGGGGCTTGCGCCAAGACACTGTGATAGGACATCTTGCATGTCATGGTAAATAAGTTGGCCTGAGGGGGTTTTCAATTGTCCATTAAAATGAGTCGATGAATTTGACTTGTTTTATCTATGCCTTTGAGACTTGTTGAAAGACAGAGTAGGTTTGTGTAGTTTATTGATGCAGAAGCGGATGCGATCACAACACTTCTGCATTTATGAGATGCTAGAGATATTTTATTTGTTTGTACTGTACTTTATGGCTTACTCTGTAGTATAAACTGCAGACAAAAGGCAAATCAAAACCAAGATAGCATTTGAGGACATTTACGGTGGCAAATAACTTTTAACCTGGCCAGTTAAGTTCGGATTTGAAATTATGAGCCCCTTATTACAATATTGACATTTTTCTTTGTTTTATATTACGGTAATATTAGCTATTTACCACTATAAAATGAATGGCTGATACATATACTCTTACACAGACTCCAAGGCCCGGTGACCCACTTCACTACCCTAGCCTTTTGACAAGTAATGTTTCTCAAAGAAACAAGTATCAAACTCATTCTGTGGGCTCCACTAATTTGCCAGGGTTCCACTAATTTCAGTCTCACCTGTAGGCCAAGTCAACAGGTGATACTGAAGGAAAAAAATACACAACAAGAAAACAAAGCACTATGTAAACCTGTATACAGTCAGGGTTAATAAAGAGTTATGTAGCCATAGCAATTTCTAAATAACATAACATATACCCCCATTTAATCTATTGAAAATGGCACAGGAAAGGTGTGTGAAACAGAAAATCACATTAAAACTACAAAAGCAGAGAGAGAGCAATTCCAAATGAATTTTCAAACCGTAAAAATGACAACTGAGAAGGGACATTTGGCCTCATCGATGTTTTACTTTAGACTCCGGTACTCATGACGCTGCTATGCTAAGCTAATGTGAGGCAGGAAAGCATGCATGAAACTGATAACATACACACTGCTATGTGACTGTCCAGCAGATGTGACACAGCAGGGAAAGGTAAGCTCTGTGTTTGCTGCCAGAATGGTTTGTTTTGGCCCGTCAGCATAGCAGACAGAAAAACAATGTTTTGCTAAAGGAAAGCAATGGCTTTACCAACACAGATTTCTCTCCAGGTAGAATGCAATAGGTTTCACATTCAAATGTGTAATCCTTCTGATTATTGCTCAAATTGTTTTTAAGACTAAATCTCGGCTAGTGTTTGGGTGAGACAGCTGATTGCAATGGCTAGGGGCTGAAGCACTACAGGTGTCCCGGTTGAAGCTAGGAAGCGTGCTTGGCGGAGGTACCCAGCTGGGATCGGTCACACAACTGATACCCAAAAATACAGTGGGTTCTTTTTAATGATTTTAAGACTAAAACATGACATGTCTAACCAACAAAATATAATCCATGTCTCTGCCCCTCTATTCATAGATAAAATACAAGTTGTACAAGTATGGATAGGTTGCCCATGTTTACTTCGATTGTCCTCTTGACAGGTGATGCCAAAAAAAGGAACATTTCCACGTAAAGTATTTTTTTCAGTTCAGGAATCTCATTCCACCTCACTGCTCCTTAAAATGCAATGTGAGACCAGTCAGTCTCCGTTATACAGTTGGATCCAGAAGTGAAATACACATACCATCATGATAACCAGTTGCACATGTCAAACATCTGGCCATTTAAACTCTATACCTGTATTCTCCAACTGATCTAATTTGCATTCCTTTCTGTGAAATTATGGAAGAATTCGTTATTTCTGCCCTATTTCAATGCGGGGAATTGCAGAGGAACTTCCTACCGGAGCTTGGTTTGGTAAGATCACGAGAGAACTAGAGACAATGTAACAAGAAGTTATATCAGCAAGCTGTTTTAAACCAGAGCGTGACAAACTTGCTCTGAATCTACTAGCCAGCTAAAAAAAGTTAGGAGTCAGGTTTTTAAAACTTGCAAAGATGTATTTTTAACAACAAAAAGACAATTCTTAAAGAGAGACACTATAGTCACCAGGACCACTACAGCTTTATGTGGTGGGTTTGGGGTCTATAGCCTGTCCGTGCAGGCTTTTCAATATAAACACTTACTTTTCAGAGAAAAGGCAGTGTTTACATTGCTGCCTAGTGGCAGTCACTCAGACAGCCACTAAAGTGCATCCATAGTATGCAGCACCTACATTCAGGGCCTCCACGCTCTGGAGCTTTGGATTTGCAGAGATAATCAAGCGCGCACACACACACAAACAAACATTTATTAGTTTTCATGCATTTCTATGCCACCAAGCCTCCCTACCTTTGGGAGAGCTGGAGTGGATCTGTTTTCCCTGTTTTACCTAGGAATTTGTCGAGCCCTGTATTAAATGATTGTCCTAGATTGCTTTTTCTAACATTAAATATTAGAGATCAAAAATGATAGGTCGCAGAATGGATACGGTCTGTTATCATTTGAAACAGATTAAGATTACATGTACTTTAAAGTATAAGGTATACCATTTTTTAATTAATCGTTTAAAAGAAAAAAAAATTCTCAGGCCCTCTAAACAAGAACATTACAAAACTACTTCTGTTTGAAAATTCGCAAACAATTGCTTGAGTGGAATGCACTCCAAATTTCATGGCTGGGTTGCATGTTCACAACAAATATGAATACTCCTATTCCAAATCATAAATTCTGCCGGGCTGACATAAGCCTTTCAGAGCAAGACTAAGTACCATACTTGGCACGTATCGATCTCCCATTACCAATAGTCTAGTCTTCTCACACCTATTCCCTCAGACCTTTCTGATCTATCCCAAATTCAGATTTTCCCCCTGGGAGCACAAACAATTGTCTATAATACTGGTAATCAACCTTCAGCACTTCAGATGTTGTGGACTATATTTCCCTTGATGCTTTGCCAGCATTGTGGCTGTAAGAGCATTATTGGAGCTGTATTTCACAACATCTAGAGTGCCAAAGGTTGTTTACCCCAGTCTAGAAACATAGAATGTGATGGCAGATAAGAACCATTCAGCCCATCTAGTCTGCCCAATTTTCTAAATACTTTCATTAGTCCCTGGCCTTATCTTATAGTTAGGATAGCCTTATGACTACCCACGCATGCTTAAACTCCTTTACTGTGTAAAGAAGTTAGAGGAATTAAGCATCTAGGACTGTAGGATTTTTAGGCTACCCTGTCTTTGAAAAGTCTGTAAATTTCCTTAGTGAATTTCTTCATAAAATACCTAATCTTCTGAGCCATCCAATTTTAAAGGGACACTCCACTGACACTTTAGTAGATCTACCCCAAATGAAAGCTTGCATGCATTTAATTATGCATTTTTTCTTATTGGAGGTATATCTTAAAACAGCTTGCCTTTGAAAGCCCTCCTCTTCTAATCCCGCCCAGACTATGTGACTGTCCAATCACAGACTTCCCAATGCAGCTCAATGAAAAGCCTTTGCATGGCAGGTGTTCTGGGCAATTGCTACCTTTTGAGTTCAGTGCAACTAAGCTAACTAAGCTAATTAAACCAGGAAGTAATGGGACCGCTTGTCTGCTTAAAAAGACAGGTGGTATAACCAGTATAATTTATAAAATGTGTTCATTTCTATTGAAAGCTGCACTTTCCCCCCCCAAATGTGACGGAGACCATTACTTCTCAAAATAAATGTCATTTTTATTTTGAGAGGCTGTACTGAGCGCCTTTAAAATAAAGAGTGTAAAAGGTTAAAAAGCCATTACACTTCCAGAACAGTAGAAAAGCAGAAAATGGGAAGTAGAAATGGGAAACCGAAAAGAGGGGGTGGGGGGAATAAATGTTTAAAAATAAAAAAAAGGGGATCAAGCAAAAACACTTTAAAAAACAAATTGCTAAATGCTAAAAATATACGCAGCCTCCCCTGTGACAAACATTCTTAGGAACAAGCACTCAAAGTGTTTTGAAAGTCTGTTTACTGCGCTGAAAGAGCTAGGAAAAAATATCCAATAAATAGTAAACATAAGTGGGAATGACATACGATCCTAAGGAAAATAGTTTAGAAGTCCAGATGGCAGCATTGTACATTGAGCTGCACTGCATACTGTGACAGATAGCATGCTCTTTACTAGCAAACAGGGAGAATGTTACCACCTAATATTTTTACATACAATAAGAACTTACATTTAAAAGCAGCCCAGTCACCACCTGGTCACTTGAGTAATTCAAAGAAAATCTTTATGAATTAAACAAACACACTGCTTGCATTGCAAATTCATTCAAGTAGGATCTACGGCAGACCGGCACAACATGTGGCCAGCCAAAGGATTTTGTGCGGCAAATCGGGAGGCCCTTGCACTTATGGCCACCAGATGGGCCATTGCCAACAGTGGGCAGTTTGGGCGTTGTGCCCCTTTAGCATCGCAACCGTGCCCCTTGCCTATCAGCAGCCACAGAAAAAGTGACAGTCTGTCACATCCTCCCAGAGAGATGCAGAGCCACGCAGAAGGGAGAAGGTAGTTTTGAGGCGGTCTGGGACTGGGAAAGCCATGAGGACCGAGTAGAAGGCTTGAGAGGAAGGGGCAAATGCTGTAAGAACCAGCCCCTAAGTCTCAACAACCTCAGCCAGCACACTGGAAACCATGGCAGTCACCCTCCTGCACCCAAAACATAGGAAACTGGCGGGTGGCTATAAGCATGTATATTTTAACGCGTGTGCACACTCTTTTTTTTGGTTTTGTTTTTATAATTATGGACATTCTAAAGACAATGCATGCTTTATACGAAAACATTTGTAGCGTTATACAGTACAACTGAACATTTTAGCTGTTCTGAATCAGGGAGAATTACATATGAGTTTGATTTTACAGAGAAATTGGTATAAGGATCTGTATTTTTATATGTTATTTTATACCTTTAATTGGAAAATTAGGCGCTAAAAACATCTCTCTGTCTCGAAGAAGTTTAGTCTTTTAGTTTTGGCCCTACCTACTGCCAAGTTGTGCAGGACTGGTCTACGTTATCATATAACAAAGTGTAAGTTGACAAAACTACAATAAGCAGAGCTTCAAATGTCCAGTTCTGTCAATTCCCACAGCTGCCGCTAGCTGTAGGAAACTGGACATTTTCTCAGGAAACAGCAAGAGTTGCCAAAAGAGAAGATCCCGGTGTTGCAGAATCACAGAAATCTATCTGGATTACTACATATATATCAGGTCAGCATGATACCAGCTATAAGGAGACCACAATACTTGCATTTTTCTTGTAATAAATTATTTCGTACTGGATTGCACTGTTCTCTGGTGGACTGGATACATCTCCTGATTGGTGGCCCTTTTGCAGCACTAGCACTGCTCAGCCTATCCTATAAAAGGTGGTTTATGGGCACACCAAGGATTTCTGGGAGTCTTTGGTTCAATCATATTTCAACTGAACATGTTCAAAAGAATATGTCAAGTGCATCAGTATTTTTGGAGCAAAAGGGTGGGAGAAAGGGTATCCATACCATATAGAAAAGAATAGAGCCAATAAATGTTAGTGGCTATTCTTGACGGTTCCCGTTACAAGATGCAGGTTTATTAGAAAATGATATGCTGTCATTCTGTAAATATGTTCAGACTATATTAAAAAGGGCTAGAAAAAATATATATAATTTAATTATAGTGTTTGCTTATCAGCACAACATTCAGCCCGCTGCTAAGTGATTTAATTAAATAATGGAAATGAATGCAGGCAGGCACATTTCCACGTCAGGAATGTAAAATCTTGCTTTCTTCTTCACCAATTGAACACAACCGAAATGTTCTTCCAATTCCAGTATGGTGAACAAGGCTTCCTACGGCAGTGTGCTGGGGATAGATTCAACACTTTAAAGGCCACAATAGTTGCTTTAGCTGTGCAGAATTCACCACCCTGGCATAAAAAAACATTAAAAATTTCTATAGAAAATTTAAATGTGAGGTGGTTACGGTATGCACAATTCAGTTGCAATGGTGGTTTAGGTTTCAACTCACATGACAAAAAGTAGGTCCTAGCTATTATCCTAAACATCCCTACCTTCAATCTGGGATGCACCCACTCCTAGCTACACTGTACAGTTAGCATCATCATTTAATAAAGCACTGAAAATAACCTAGAACGCATGTAAACATGAAGCTCTAATTTTCTTTTAAATCCAGGTCAGTCCAGGCACATCCTGCATGGAGGAGAAGAATGGAACAGTAAAGGACACTTCTCAAAGTGTTCTGAAAAGCCAAGGTTAAATTCAGTCATTATTAGTCATATTTATAAGAGTGATCTGAAAAGTGACAATTTTTTTTTTTTTTTTTTTTTAACAGTAAATTTTCATTTTAGAAGACCGCCGAATTCACGTCGTGTCAAAATTGTGCAACTTTTCTGTTGGGAAAAAGTGGCATAACAATTCATAAATCCATTTCCTGTGTGTTCTGCATTGTGGGTTGGTTTCCATGCCAGCTCATTTTGACTTTTTTCTGACCTCCAGAATGGATTAATTGGTTTTTCAATGCATTCCTATGCGAAACCATTTTTTCGGTTTACAAATTTTTCACAATAAGAAACGTCCTGGAGAACGCATTCAATTCGTAAACCGAGATACCACTATATACATGTACATATAACACTTGACAAAGTACTCAAGCTTGCTCGAGTGCTTTACATGTGGATTTTTTTTTTTTTTTTTAAAGTTTATAAAAGGTTGCAATATATTTTTTTTTTATATATTATATATATATATATAAAATGCCAAATAGTGAAAATATACTTCAATGATTTAAATTGAATGTTCTTTTAAATATAAAAGGATAGGTAAACCTTAAGGGTAATTAAGCACTTTAGCTTAATTAAGTGGTTTTGGTGCATTAATCCCACACCTGCAGTCTTACTGCTCCATTCTGAGTCACATAGGAGATAGACCACTTTATCCAACTCTAGCAACACGTCCCTTGACTGTGACTTACACAGCCTCTCTACTTATTTCCTGAATAGACTTGATCATTCTTCGCTGCTGATTGTGCTTACTCCGTTCATTGCCTGCTAATGCAAAGCAGTCTCCTAAAGGTTGAAGCCAGAAATCAAGGCTAGTTCAGGCTTGTTGCACTACAAGAAGAATATATTACAGCGCAACATGAGTAAATTATATTTTTATAGTTTGTAAAAGATTCAGTATTTATTTAATAATAATCTATGTTTGTTTGTTTTTTATATTCCAAATAAGAAGCAATTCATTGGAAACTACTCAGTAATAACAAGGAAGTTAGCGCTTGGCAAAGAGGGGATAGATCAACCTGATGTGGGAAAATGTAGGATTTTAGAAACAAATGCATATTTTTATTTTAACTGCCTTATTCAAGTGCACTAAAATGCATTTATTTAACCTAGACCTTTAGATATTTAATATCAAAATTGACAAAATTGTTGTTCACACAAAGCAGTATGCTCTGAGCAAGAAACTAAGCTGAACCTCAGCAACTGATTTAGAGTGGTCAAATCACCACTCACGATTTCCTACCCTAAACTGAAAAAGTGTATTATTGCCAATTCATAGAAACAGTCCATAGCTAATCAGACATGCCAAATTGGCTAGAGAGCTTTAAAGAGGCGGAATTCTACACTCTCTCAGATTCTATCATATACTGTAACACAATGCGTGCTTACGTCACACAAATATTATGTACATCAGTAGTCTTATTAGTCTTTAGATATCTTAATTCCTCATGAGCATCAACAATAAAGGCAAATGTTTTAAATTGATCCATGCCACATAGAAAAGAATAGTGCCATCATTTAAAGTCTTTTATATAAAGACAAACAAATTAAGCTGTAAAAAGTACAGGATGTTGAAATAGGATGTGAGATCAGCGACGTAGCTGAAAAAAAAAAAATAGAACCACCAACTATTAAGCGATGTACTGCACTTGAACTGGTAAACTGAAAGGAGGTTGAAACAGGAAGTGTGGTGGGTGAGCTAGCCAAAAAAATAAAAGCATCAATTCTTACTGGTGACATACTGTACACAAGCCAACACCGTAACGTGGAATAACCTAGAGCAAGCTTTCTGAAATGGATAAACCATTATTAGGCTGTACATGAAACTGGTTGGGCAAGCTCCCCATTAAACAGGACTATAACGTGTATTTGTCCCAGTGAACCATATTCAATGACAATATTATGTCAAATAGTATTGTACAGTATATAAATTTAACTGCCAGTTTGAAAAATTGATGAAACTTTTCTACTCTTTATGGAAATCTATTTCCTTTTCCCAAATGTCCCATTTCTTCAGTGGAATCCATTATATGCATTGAGAAAGCAGTTGGGAATATCTCAAAGATCGTGGATCCCAGGTATTTGGTTATTATTCCTCTCCATCCTTAATTGTACACAACCTTTATTTCTGAAGTCATACTTCGGGTTGGGGGGAGGTTCATTTACAGATAGTTATAACTGGATGGCTCTCACAGGTGCTTTATTATAGGGGGAAGGTTGAGGTGTGCTGTGGAGGTGAGATCAGTGCATGGTTTCTGACAATTACTAGCATTCCATGCACCATACATGTGCCCTCTGTTGTTACCGCTCATATATCCTAGTGAGACAAGTTATTCCTCCCATCTAAATCATTTTCAGTGCGTTAGAGCTGGATCTTTTCCTTAAATGTTGGTCTACTAAATGCAAGAAAACCACATGCTAAAAAAGGAACTTTTCTATAGCACTCAACTTGTGAGAACCAAGTCTAAGGGAAAAACATTAACAGATGCAGGCTTAAATTAAATCAAATGGCGGTTTTCTTATTTATTAATTTGTCCAGCAGGTTCTTCATAGTCTCTCAACAGCTTGCAACATAATCAATTTTGTGATAAACACCTCTGCATGAATATAGATACCACACAGTGATAACAATAAGTACAATCTGCAGCTGTTTATGGTTTAAGTAGAAGAGATATTCTAAACCATTAGATATAACAGTGGATCCTTCAGTTACTTTAACAAAGTCTGTGTACCAGAGCATTGAGGTATTTACACAATATTTTACTGGCCCTTGTAAATGTAATTAGCGGCACCGATTGTTGTGTTTTACCAATAAATGCAGCAAATTCCTGCAATGATGAACTCGGCAAGAAAAGACTGCTTTTCTTAAGATCTACAATAAAGTCAATAAAGCACGTCTTTGAGTGAATGACAGCTCACACTCCATAACATGTTTAAGGACAAGAATACAAATATAATCTGCTGCATTGTAGAAAAAATTACACATAAATTCACCGGTATTAAAAGTTACATGCAGAAATGTGTAAAATATCCAGAATGAGATACAAGAACAGATCAGATCCATTAAACACACGTTTTGGAAGGAAAGCCGTGTTTAGATGGATAGAAGTAGAATGAAAGTTAAATTAACTGGACCGGACAGGTAGAAAATTCACCCTTGGTGGCCATACTATGGCTTACAATAACGAGTAACTTAAAACCTGGCTAACGTATAATATATATTATCTGTGCTAGAAAATAGTTCAGTTCTTTCACAATACAAAATTATTACCTACACTGCATTGAACACTGGTGCTATAGAGTGTTCATCTGTCTTGATCCAAACTACTTGATTAGTACACTATTCACCAAAAACCCTAATGTAGTGGCCATGGGGTATATATGCAATCCTTGTCCTCCTTTTGTCTGAAAATGTAAAACATAGCCTTTCTGAGAAAAGTGGCTGGCAGACAGGCTGTCAACAAAGCTGCTTCCTCCTTAAGAGCTTCGATTTGTATATATTTAAGGTTTTATGTTCAACGCCATCACACGCAGCATGATAATGCCCAACATTGTTAATGCTTCTCATATAGAATAGTTTTCTATTGTAACAGAATGTTTCTTTAAGAACTAAGTAAAGATTTGCGAGTATGGTCTTCAGTGGTATTATGTTTTACATTATGATCATGATTCAGAGAACTCTGCTTTGTTTGTGATTTCTCAAGTTTCCACAACTGCAAAAAAAAAAAAAAATCCAACGATGTGAAGAGTTTAAATATAGTTTTATGGGAAGAACAAAATTACACACTTTTTCTCAGATTTTCTAAAGCTTTTCACAGTATTGTTTTGTACTCCTCTCATTTGAGTTTGAGTATGCTATGTAATAGATTTCAACTGTGGTTAGAATGTGGGCTACTTAACTTTGTGTTTAGCAAATCCTCCATTTTTGGTCAACGTGTTTAAAACCTGTTTGATATTGCACCCATATTCTCTCCGTACCATAACCACTACAATAACCTGTAGACAACATGCAGCTCGCTCACTCTTTATGATTATCTCCAATCATCTTCCTCTAGTTACAGACGTGTTGAAAAGCTTTGTTTGGACAGTACATTTGTATAAAGCAAGCTTTTGTACCAGTCATGTAAATTTTAGTATACAGACACTAAAGGGTCTCTCCAGTCACTGCAGGTCCCCTCTCCCTCCCACCACCCATCCCCGGTTGCTTAAGGGGTGAAAACCCCTTTAGTGACTTACCTGAGACCCCCGCCGATGTCCCTCGGTGGTGGTTTCGGGTCGTCGTCGCTCCTCTTCATTACGTCAGCCGGCAGGTGAGACTGATCCCGCCCGCCGGCTGAGGAGACCTAATGCGCATGCGTGGCAATGCCGTGCATGCGCATTAGAGTTCTCCATAGGAAAGCATTGAAAATGCTTTTCAATGCTTTCCTATGGGGAATTGAGCGACGCTGGAGGTCCTCATACAGCGTGAGGACGTCCAGTGACGCTTTAGCACAGAAAACCTGTGCAATGAAGCAGGAAGTGCCCTCTAGTGGCTGTCTAGTAGAGTTAACCCTGCAAGGTAATTATTGCAGTTTATGAAAACTGCAATAATTACAGTTGCAGGGTTAAGGGTAGTGGGAGTTGGCACCCAGACCACTCCAATGAGCTGAAGTTGTTTGGGTGCCTGGAGTGTCCCTTTAACCAAACTGACAGCAAGAGCATAGACATTTTATTGCCATTAAGCTGAAAATTGAATTGGCAGAACTGAGGCAAAATTAGGAGACAATAATAGCAAATGTCAGTGTGACTATTTTTCCTAAATTCTGGCATTTGGATTTCAAATTTAGTTGGTAAAAGCAAAGCATTGCTTATATCCCAATTCATGCTTCCCTATGTTTGCTAGCGATTTTCTAAACACACTCTCAGTGGCCTATTTATTAGACACACCTGCTTATTAAACACAACTTGTCAAACAGTGAATCACAAAGCTCAACTTCACATAAATAAAAGAAAAACATCCATTAGTGATCCAAACATTAGGATGAAGACAATGTAGCATCTAAAAGACTTTGCTTGGGAAAACTGTGGTCTCTGATTTACAGAGAATATACAAATAATGTATTATGAAGGTCAGTTCTTGATAAACCATTTCAGGATAAGGAATAGTAAAAAATTATCAGTCCTTACAAATGCAGTTTTACTTATACCTTCAAAGTACCTCTTTTTGGATTTTGCTTTATAGAAACATTTTAGTTTCTTTACTGCAGGACACCACAAATCCAAGGTGCCAGGTCACCATGGCGCCTATAAATTTTGTCAATGAGTTTGAGTGTGTGTATGTGTGCCACTAAGGTGTTTTGGTCACCGTCCTCACTAAGATCGCATTGGAATGTGTTCCTCTCACCCTTTTTCCCACATCATGCCGGTCTCATCGCTGCTGGCCCCACCTCCAGTCATTGCGCCAATCAGCATCACCTAAGATATGCACTGAAAATAGGCACCGGAGCACTTCATCTCATTGAAGTGGTCTGGGTGCACTGTCCCTGACCCCTTAGTCCTGCAACGTAAAACATTTATGCAGGGTTAAGGCTGCCTCTAGTGGCTGTCTCCCACACAGCCACTAGAAGCACTTCCTTTTACCCAGTTTAACGCAATGAAGAGATGCTGAAAGTCCTCACTCTTAATCCCTATTTGAAAACACTGATTCAATGCGTAGGCCTAATGCGCATGAGACGCTTGCTGTGCATGCACATTATTGTCTCTCCATTACAGATATCAGAGGTGATGGCGATGGAATAAGTTTATGGCTAACTGACACTATAGTTCTAAGGAACATAAAAGGTGTATTTCTAACTTTATTTTAAAAATCTGTGTCTTAGTCAGTCAGTTAGCTTCCCCCAAATCTCCATAAGATTCTTTTAACAGGAGTTAGTTTAGGGATTTCTGTTTTAGTCTGTTTTAGTAAAAAAAATAAAAATTTTTATATATATATATATATATATATATATATATATATATATATATAAATTTGTGTTTAGTATTTTGTTAGTTTAGTCTGTTAGTGTGAAACATGTACAGCTTGGAGGAGGCATATGCCTTCTTGGTGTCAGATTCTGACTCTTCATAAAATACGCCCACTGGTAGACCATCTTCAGAACAGATTTTCTGAAGTTTATACTCCCCAACAAAATGTATCTATTGATGAATTCCTTATGAAATATAAAGGGAGATTAGGGTTCAAACAGTATATCCCCTCGCAGCGGTCTAAGTATGGCAAAGTGTACAAACTGTGCGAGAGTGAAAGTGGCTACACATTTGCCTTTTGGGTATATGAGGGGAAAGATGGTCAACTGAACCCTACTGGCTGTCCTGACTCTCTGGGGACAAGTGGGAAACTTGTTTGGGACCTACTGATCCCCTTGTTCAATAAGGGTTACCACCTTTATGTGGACAATTTTTACAGCAGTGTCCACTTGTTGCACCACTGTAAGAGGAAATGCCAAGGATTTCCCCAGACCTCTCATAGAGGCCAAATTTAAAAAAGGTGAATGCAAAGCTTTGCGCAAAGCTGAACTGTTTGCACTAAAATTTAAGGACAGGAAGGATGTTCACATGCTAACAACCATCCATGACGAAAGCATGTCAGACGTCACTGTCCGAGACAGGGTACAGACAAAACCTGTTTGCGTCAGGGCTTATAACAGGCACATGGGGGGTGTTGATTTGGCTGATCAGCTGATCCAGCCATATCTTATCTTAAGATAGACAAAAGCCTGGTATAAAAAGCTGGCTATCTACCTAATGCAAGTAGCAACACATAATTCATTTTTACTCTTTAAAAAAATATATCCAGAAAGAACCACCTTTCTCCAATTTCAGCTCAAGCTGATTTCCACAATAATTTATGGAGATGGTCAAGTTCCAACAACGGTGCAAGAAGAGTCCAGACATTTTATTTTTAAGATACCGCAAACACCAAAAAAGAAATCCCCAGAAACGTTGCCGGGTCTGTTATAAAAAAGGGAAAAGGACAGACACCCCTTTGCACTGTTTTTTTTCTTTTGAAAGCAGCAAATTTTAGTTAGTCAGTTTCCTTCCCCCAAATCTCCAGTTAGAGTCTTTTTGCAGGAGTTAGTTTAGAGAATGCTGCTAAAGGTGCATTTGATACCTGCACATTTGGTTAAAAAAAGTTTTATGGCAGTAACATAACTGGCTGGCCAAAACCAGATGACGTGTGCATAAAAAGCAGAATTCAAAAATTACCACCATGCACATTCCCTGAAATTTGTTTAGCACAATGGTTGGGGGGAGGATGTGAAAACACCCCATATACAATACCCTGGAATGTCTACTTTATAAAAATATAAACTTTCATGATGTTAACATTAACAGGGGGATGCAAAAATATGCCAAACTGAAGATAGGCCATGCATACCTATATATCAAGTTGAAAATCTGTTAATTCATGCCTAAAGTACAATGTGTGTGTAAAAAATAAATAAAAAAAAAAACACGAAAAAAATTACTACCCAAAAGTTTGCCAAAGGCTGGTGGTAGAATTAGTGCATGAAAAGTGTTAAAAAAAACAAAAAAAAAAACAAAAAAAACCACCATTTGAAATACCCTAGGGTGTCTACTTTCCAAAAATATATGGTTTGGTGGGGGTAAAATACATTGGCCAGCCTTACAAATGTCCCAAACAGGACATGTGCGCAGGTTGACTACATGTCAAAATTCCAAGTTTAAAAATGGATATGCGCACGTGCAAAATGTGGCCTTTTAGCCCCCAAACAACTAAACAAGCATATGCATGGGTGGTATCACTGTACTCAGGAGATGTTGCTGAACACATATTGGGGTGTTTGGCAATGTCACATAACACGATCTGTTAATTCATGCCTAAAGTAAAATGTGTGTGAAAAAAAAACCACAAAAACAATTACTACCTAAAAGTTTGACAAAGTCTGGTGGTAGAATTAGTGCATGGAAAGTGTTAAAATACAACCATTTGAAATACCCTAGGGTGTCTACTTATCCAAAAATATATGGTTTGGTGGGGGTTAAATACATTGGTCAGCTTTACAAATGTCCCAAATAGGACATGTGCGCAGGTCGACTACATGCCAAAAAGTGGATATGTGCACCTGCCAAATGTGGCCTTTTAGCCCCTAAACATCTCGACAAGCCTATGTATGGGTGGTATAACTGTACTCGGGAGATGTTGCTGAACATATATTAGTGTGTTTTTTGGCAGCAACACAACAGGATCTGTGAGTTTATACCTGAACTGCAATGTATGTAAAAAAAAAACTACCTATGCGAAGTTTGGCAAAGACTGGTGGTAAAATGGCTGCATAGAAAGTGTCAAAATATCCTTAGATGAATACCCTTGGTTGTCTACTTTAAAAAATATATATACATGTGGGGTGTTTTCCAGAGATTTATGACAGATAAAATGTATGTTTTGAAACCGCAATCTCCTACTTATAGCCCTATAACTTGCAAAAAAAGCACGTAAACACTGGGTATTTTTAAACTCGGGACAAAATTTTGAATCTATTTAGCAGTTTTTCTTCATTAGCTTTTGTAGATGAGTAAAAGATTTTTCCAAGTAAAAGTAAAAAAAACATGTATTTGTTTCAATTTTGCATCATATTTTTTTTAATTAAATTACATGAGATTATATAAATAATGGTATGTAAAGAAAGCCCTTTTTGTCCTGAAAAAACAATATATCATTTGTATGTGAACAGTAAATGAGAGAAGAGAAAATTACAGCTAAACACAAACACCACAAAAGTGTACGAAGAGGCCTGGTCGCAAATGTACAACATCGCAAAAACAGTCCCGTCCTTAAGGGATTAAACAGCCATGTCCCTAAAGATACTGCTGCCACCACCCCCTCCACCCCCCACTCTTTTTGAACCATTTTAACACTTTAATAAATCTCCCCCATTTTTCTTTATATGTTTATGTGAATACAGAATTACTGTGAAAGTCTAAATGATCCAAAACGATAGATTAGTTTTAGTCAAACATCACTAAAGGCAGTGGGTCAAATGTCTAAAGAAAAGGTACAAGCATGCTACGGTAATTGTATACTTAGTTGGGGTATATAGTCTCCATCTCAAAGCAAAGATATAGACAGTTCTCAAAATTTCCATTACCGCACTAGCCACTGGCAAATCAAAATTCAGCCATGGCGAGTTCCAATGAATCCCTGGTGAGTGTACAATGGTCCCTCCAGGCTTACAAGTTACCTTTGGCCTGTCTAGCAGTGTAATTTTGAGCCCTGATACAGACATATAAATGTTACATATCTTATACAGCAAGTACCAACATTTTAATCACTGTGTGAATGTTCCAGATCTGAATTCAACTGATACAGAGTCAAAGAATCTATTGTAACACACACACAATATAATGCACAAAAGATCATATGTAAATGGACACCCCAACACAAACACCCCACAAATGCTACATGTTTTTATAAATCTGTGTTCATTATAACTGCAAACTTAAACTACATTGCCTTGAAACACCATCAACTAATGGCAACTGTAGCACTGCAGATGTTTGCAAGTCTACTACTTGCCCATCCACCCATCACAGGAAATGCATTTGATAATTCCTTGCAGTGCCAAAGTTACGAATGACTGCTCCAACAAGTCATACATGAAAAACGTTCTTGAACGATGAGTAAATATACTTTAACTCCTTATGACGCATACATTAAGTTAGTGTGTAGTCGCAGTGTCCTAAACTGGATTTACTAGAACATGTAACTTTAGCCATTGGACTTAATTGTCATGAGTAATGACTGTTGTAGTCTAGCTACAGACCAATCATATATTGCCATGCAGTAAGGAGTTTGTATGTGACATTTTAACTACAACCACTAACAGGTGCCTAAATCAAAAATCTTGCAGATAGTAAAAACCTACCTGTCACGTGCAGCATTAAATCTTCATGACTATTTCTCGTAGCCGGCCTTGGTGAGGCTGCGGCCATGTCCAGTTACAGGTCAGGCCTGCAAAAGAAAGAAAAGGGGATCATGTGAGCACAGTGACTAAACAGCAATGGGCAGAGTGTGCTTATTTTTCAAGTTGTCTAGTGCACATTCGGTCATGGGTGACTTAATCAGACGTCTCAAAGTACAGAGCGGCACTGTACCACTGACTAAGCACTTAAAGAGACACTGCAATATAAACAATACATTGCACATTATCTCATAACAAATCTTTCATAACTCAACTAGAAAAATATGACTACAATACGCATTCATTCCCTAGATAAATATAGAAAATATTTGTTTACATTTTCCCTACCATTGAAATAAAAGCAACAAGAACAATCTCATCATTAAATGGACACTCCAAGCACAAGTGATGTGATTTATTATTACTGCAGCTTTGTGCACACCCTTCAACTATGTATAGATATATGTTGGAAGCCACGTTCTTGCAAAGATCTTGTATATAAAGTAAACTTAACACATTGTTGTTCTGAAAATACGTCTAGTGGCAATTGCACTGACAACCACTATGGTGCTTCCTTTTTGAAAACACAGAGTCAAATGCTGTTCTTTATGTTCAAAGTCCTCTCACAATGCATGAAGGTGTCGAACGTTCAATCAATGCTTCTCTAAGTGAAGCATTTGATCGGAGGAACGTGGCACCTGTGCTTCTCATCCACAATACTTCTCTATGAGAAGCATTTGATTGGATGGCACGTCAAAGAGGACAGAACATGAAATGGAAGGCAGAGCAGATGACAACAGAGTCAAAGATGCTGGTAAAGGGCTACTTGGATTTTTATAATCACCTCAAGTAGTGCTTGTTAAAAGGAACACTAGAGGATCAGGAACACAAACATGTATTCCTGACCCTATAGTGTTAAAACCACTATCTAGCTCCCCTGGGCCCCCTTATCTCCCTAAATAAAGTTAAATCTTAGCTTTATTCCAGTCTATTGTTGAGTCTGCCCCTGATCTGCTTCCTTGGCAGATATCAGAATTGGTGATTTCAGCCAATCACAATGCTTTCCCATAGGAAAGCACTGGATTGGCCGAGACTGTCAAGGAGGCAGATCAGGGACAGAGCCAGCACAAGCAAAACACAGCCCTGGTTATCAGCATCTCCTCATAGAGATATATTGATTCAATGAATCTCTATAAGGAAAGTTCAGTTTCTCCATGCAGAGGGTGGAGACACTGAATGGTAGTGCTGCACTGCCCCAGGAAGCACCTCTAGGAGTGGCCAATGGAGGTATCCCTAGGCTGTAATGTAAACATCGCATTTTCTCTGAAAGACAGTGTTTACATGAAAATGCCTGCAGGGAATGATTATACTCACCAGAACAAGTACATTAAGCTTTAGTTTATCTGGTGACTATAGCGTCTCTAAGAATTTATTGGTACTATATTATGGCAACAATTTTATACAATAGAAAAATACAAAAGATAGTATTAACATCACAATGCTTTTCACGTGTAGACCAACATACACATAACAAAATAATCATTGACAATTCTGTATAACATGATAATTTGACTAAAAGAAATATATATGGCAAAAAAAAAAATCACAAATATTGTTAAGCAAACACAGAAGGGAGAGGAAAAAATATAAAATAAAAATAAAGGTGTTTATATCAGCATATAGCACAACATTATCTGTGCAAAACAAAAAATAAAAACTCCTATATAAGTACATATGGTGGAACTATCACTAAAGGTAATAAGCATTTACCCTGAGTTAAAGTTGTAATTGTAAGCATTATGGCATAACTTGTATATGTACAGAGAATAAAACAATAAAAAAAAAAAAACCTTCGGTCTCATCTTCTCTAGTATTTCTACACATGGCTGTCTAAACAAAAGGTAACATTGAAGAAACAATAACATTATATCCAGTATAGTGTTGGTATTTGTAATGAGCAGAAAAGATATTCATAAAAAATTGCACTTTTCAAAGTCCACATTTAAACCTCAAGGTGTTCAATAGTCAAATTTAAAAAACCATCCCCTCCAGTTTTCAAACAATTTTGCTATGCCCATAAAGGCCGTACGTGTGGGATCACTTTGATAGAACTGATGGAAATGTACAGAAACCCTGATTTTGACCATTGTTTATAATGTTCCTGATGTGTTTCTCAATGTTAACATGTAGGTGTCTCGTGGTATGGCCAACATGAAATCCATTACACAGACAAGAAATAGCATAAATAACGGTTTACATTATTACAGTTAAAAGTTGTTGGTTTTTTTGTTGTTTTTTTAACTGTAGTAATGCAAAAACAATTTTTTTTCATCCAGATTTATTTTTGTTAAATCTGAGTTTTATTGGATCTTTCATTTTGCAAAGCATATCAAAGCAGAGCATAGCGGGAAATGCAGGTCCCCAATAATGGGAAGCATATCTGGCAACCTAGGACCCAAACATCAAAATACAGAGCATACTATTACGGGACTTGACGATCCCCATTAAATATTGGAAAGAGGGTTTCTAGTCTGCCTTTATATGTAGTGTTTCAACAGTCTCATATCATCTGTATGGAGATTACATGTAATCTTCAGACAAATAAAGTAGGTTGGATAATCATTATCAGGACATCACGCTGGCAAGCAAACAGTGCTACATATTTACCAACACCAACTTAGAGAGTTATGCACTCAGCAGTACAAATTGTTGGAATAATAGTTTCATTGCTTCCATGCATCTCTACAAAATAAGAGGAACCAATATCAGCAGTCACTAACACTTGCTCCCAGTTTGGGTCCTTCCCAGGCCAGATCAGATCCACCCATGTAGAAGTAAGATAGGTGTCAAACCACTTTTTACACCGCACATGAGCAAGCAAAACAATAATCTAGAACAGGGGTTCTCAACCCAGTCCTCAGGACCCCCTACCAGTCCAGGATTTGGGGATTACCTGGGTGTGTCTCAGGTGTTTAGAAAAAGGGAAAAAAAAAAAAAAAAACACACCTTAGACTCTAAGGTGTTTTTTTTTTTCTTTTTCTAAACACCTGAGACACACCCAGGTAATCCCTGGACTGGTAGGGGGTCCTGAGGACTAACGTTGAGAACTCCTGATCTAGAATATACCACCCTAACATATTTGTGCGTTTGTCTTATAGCAACTAATTGCTGTAATTCAGACATATTTCTCTCTCACTCTTTGTTGGAAACCAATTAACAAAAGAAAAGGGATATGGAAAATAGAAAGTTAGGAAGTAAAGAATTAATGAGATTGTAATTAAGCGGCAGAGAGGTTTAAAAAAAAATAAATAAATAAAAAAAAAAAAATCTGATACAAACCAGGGGTTGGTACATACTGCAGACATGGGCAAAAGGTCAAATTATAATCAAGAACAATCTTGGCTTTTAACACATTTTATTTCCCTCTCAGGACGATAGGGTCCATTGCAGCAGTAGATAGAAAGTTCTAATTTGAGAATTCACAGTCACTGTATATTGCAGTGAAGGTTCACATGACACCACGCGTTGTTTTGAACTACATTTGTATTATGCAGTGATGGCCTAAAGAACCCTTCAATTAAACAAAATTTTGCTTAAAATCAGCCCCCTGTCCCCCAAAAAATGATTCAGTTGGAAGTGCTTTATGGGACTGAATTAATCTTGAAATATATCAATGTAACCATGCAAATGTAGACAGTCCTTATGTCAGGCATCAAGTAAAGAAGTGTAAACCTACCAGTGCCAAAAAACAAACAAAAAAAAGCTTAAAATTCAAAATAGGTAAGCTGCTATTTCTCTTAAACTGCACCATCCAAATGCTTTTGGTTTTTTTTTCCCCCGTCACTTTAATGAATCAATGTTCAAAGCTAGAAGTTTGAATATTGGTTAACAATGGCACAATTCTTGAACAGATCACTGTTTCACAAAGGGCTATTATTAATCCAAACTCCTCTAGAGCTATGCAAATGCTTACTTTCTAACGAATGTAATAAAATGCCTACAACAGGCAACTTCTCAGAAGCCAGCTCACGTTGAGGACAGATGACTTTTAGCAGAATCTAGAGGGTACACCGTTGCCCCCGACTATAAGCGGATCACCAATCTGGGATAATACTACCTAAGTAAGCTCATAACAGAGAGGATAAATGATGTATAATATTAGCAAAGAGAATTTGTCTACAATATGTATCCACTCAAAAATCAAATCACCCTAGGTGTACTCCAAAAGGTAGGTTTATCCGTGGTCTTGATGGCACTTGGAGATAATGGTCTGTGTGACCAATATAGTGGTGTGCAGTTACATGATGTAGCCTTAGAATGCCTGGGATTTGAAGGGGCAGTTTATTGGTTTGATGCCAGGAGAGACCCAGCTTGTTCTACAATAAGTAGTAAAACCATCCTAAGGTCAACCAGTGCCTTTATTCCAGCCTCAATTTATGATTCATATCTAAGAAGCTCCCCCTTTTGCAATAGATATAGCAATTTTGCCCTGTTTGAACAAAATTAATTGGTTAGGAGTGTCTGGAGATAATGGCGTTCCATATGAGGATAGGAGGAATTATCACTAATGTGAAAATAGGGATTTCCACATTAATGATATGAGAAATGGTGAGACCAGAGGCACCCAGAAGACAGTTTGACTACTTACTGTGGGAAAACGCAATGGCTCTCTTGGGATCAGAACTACAACATGCTGTAGTGGTTATAGTACCCCCATCAAACAGACTAATGAGGTGTAAAAACTTGTCACAGCTTTGTGGACTGAAGGATACCATGCACGCAACTGCCTTTTTTTTTTTTTTGAATATTCTCAGTTAGGAATTAAACTACTAATTGATTCAACTTTGTTCAGTAGGTGGTATAAAAAAAAAAAAAAAAACTGCTGTAGATCCAAAGGACATGAACGTAACCCAATGGTATAAAACAATATTTCTTAATGACTGGGTCGGGCCCCAAAATTAGGTTCCATGCTACTTAAGGTGGTCTTCCAAGGTTGGAACAAATACACCACATTCATCTAGCAGCAAGCAACTACAAACACACATTAATAGTCTAAGGAATTTTAAGGTTTTTTTTTAATATTATATATCAATTGAAAATTGAAGAGTCTGGAGGCTCTTGGAGCACGATAGTTATATATATGTTCTCATGTTCTTTTTATTATACCTTAACAATAAAAACACCAAGCGGGACGACTTAGAGTGTACATAAAGATGGAGAAGCGATCGCGAACTGGCAACTATGTATGCACCCGCTAGACTTGTTCATGAAGTTTGTGGGAGTTCACAGATATGCGGTCTAGTGGATATTGTTTGTAATTTGAGGTTCAAAGATCGACACATTTTGTATGTTTTCTGTGGATGTCTGCCAATGGTTCTGTATGTAACGTATAATATCTATAAGATGTCCTGTATTGGAAAAAAATAAAGAATATATAAAAAAAAAAAAGAAAATTGAAGAGTCTATAACCAAGGCTGTGCCATATGTATTATTTAGGCCCATGTCAAAAAGGTTAAGAAACACTGGTATAAAATATACTATACTTATATGTACAGTTTTATAGACCAGTAAATTATAAGGGTGTTCTACGTGAGTGACAGCTGATGTTTCGGTACCTTGTGACACATAATGCAGGAGCCATTTCTAGACCACAACAGTTCCCAGGCTGATAAACTTTTATGTTGGCTTTAATATCACAAATAACTTTGTCAAGTTCTGGTCCATACTACACAGGAACAAGGCTCTTAAAGGACCACTATAGTGCCAGGAAAACAAACTCATTTTCCTGGCACTATAGTGCCCTGAGAGTGCCCCCACCCTCATGGTCCCCCTTCCTCTGGGCTGAAGGGGGTTAAACACTCACCTTTCTCCAGCGCCGGGCTCCCTTGGCGCTGGGGACTCTCCTCCTCCTTCGGTCGGCATCGGCTGAATGTGCATGCGCTGCAAGAGCTGCGCACGCATTCAGTCAGTCCATAGGAAAGCATTTCTCAATGCTTTCGCTGGCGTCTTCTCACTGTGAAAATCACAGTGAGAAGTGCGGAAGCACCTCTAGTGCTGTCAATGAGACAGCCACTAGAGGCTGGATTAACCCATACATAAACATAGTTTCTCTGAAACTGCTATGTTTACAGCAGGCAGGGTTAATCCTAGATGGAGCTGGCACCCAGACCACTTCATTGAGCTTAAGTGGTCTGGGTGCCTATAGTGGTACTTTAACCTGTTGTGTATTATAGTATGTATACTTTTGCCTGGGCCTTGCGGTCCTGAATTTGTTTTAATTTATCGGTTTCCTGGCTACACTGTACAGCCCGGTGGCTGAACACAAACCTGTACATTTAATGTATCAAAGACTGTTTCTCTAACAATATGTAATCAATAAGACAGATTGAAAACCCAGGTAAATGTTATTCCCATAGCCCCAATTATTGTAAAAAGAGTACATTTTATTATATAAAGCAACATTTTGGAGAAGAATAATTAACTGCCAGAATTAGGATCTGCAGGGCTGTTAAGTACCATCTGGTTAGACTTGGAGAATAATCCACTAACATATACAAAATATTTGTTATGCAGGATGTTTCTGCATTGTATTAAGATTAAGCAATGTGAAGCAGACCATGTTTAATCCTTACTTCTGACTAAAGAGGATGGGTATAACTGATCAGTTACGATAAGATCTTTTCTCGGCCATAACATATCTTCTTAATTTTGCCTTAAATTAATGACAATTATACATTAACCAAGTTATTCACTTAACCAAAGGCTATCAGAATTTTACCACCGGTCCTATGCTTTTAGCCCATATTGGAAAGCAATCTCTAACTTAGCTATTTTATTAATAGATATTGTGGCCTAGGATTTTAAGGTCAATTCCTGAAAATGTGTGATTTGATGAAGGTGTAGATAGTCAACCTTGCTTTTTTCTGGAATGTATCCTCCATTAGTTCTTGGAAACCTTTGATCATCCCCCACAGCACCCCTCCCCCCCCCAAAAAAAAAACAACAAAAAATAAAAAAAAACTATATACATGTTAATAACTTGCCACATTGAAATATCTCCATGAAGGCAATAATTAACACATAATAGCAGAAACACTTTTCAACAAACCCATGGTTGGTCAAGGCAACAAGGCATGACCAAGGACCAGCTGGAGGGGGTGCACAGAAAAACTTTCATATTTTGAAAAAAAAAAAAAAATGAACTGAATCATGATCACAGTGCAATTAGAGCTTTCTGTGTAGATGAACTTGCACAATAGAGCAAAGGTACATGTTGTTTATCAAAGGATATGCATGTTGAAACATTGTTTTTTCAAAGGGTTTAATAATTTGACAAACCAGAAATATTTTAATGAGATTAGAATAAAATAAAAATTCAAAACCGAATAATAGGCAAGTTTAAGCAGCAGAGGTTTTGTGTACAAAATGTGCAAAAACATAACACCTAGAGGTATTGGCAACCTTTGGCACGCCAGATGTTAAAGACTACATTTCCCAGAATGCTTTCAAAGTCAGAATGCTGGCAAAGCATCAAGGAAGATGCAGTCCACAAGATCTGGAGTGCTGAAGGTTGCCTACTCGAGTCCTAGATCTCTTTCTAAGCAGAGACAATCAATGGTGCATGGAAAACCAGTGATCAGGCATGAGTTAACAACTAGAAATCACTGCAGGCGGCGTGCCAGTTAACAATGAAATCTATTCATGTGTTACAGCTTTCTGTGCAGCAAGTATTTTGAAATGCCATCACAGTAGGTATAATACTTTACTAATAAAAAGATCCACTCAATACCTGTGGAGTCAATAGCATGTCACGAAAACACTCCCAGCAGCTACAGCAGCAGATCTCCCCCTCCTTATGCCAGAGATTCTGATCCGTGCCAGTCATGTGACTCTGATGTCATTGGCTACAATGTGTAGACTGGAACAAACTTCCTCGCATATTACTGCAGCTGCTTACTTTTCTGATGTGGTACTAGAGCCATTTTTAGCCACATATAAAGAAAAACGAAATACAATAAGAAAAAGGGAACACTTCACAACTAATGGGCCATAGCTGTGAAATTCTCAAATAGCTAAACTGCAAACGCCTGTCTAATATACAATTTTTCAGTATTAACTCTCGAACATTTGCACCCATTATATAAAAAGCACTACTACACTAAAACAAGCAAGTAGAGCAGGCTTCCTCAAACTCCGGCCCTCCAGATGTTGCTGAACTACAACTCCCATGATTCTCAGCCTACTTCATTCATAGAATCATGGGAGTTGTAGTTCAGCAACATCTGGAGGGCCGGAGTTTGAGGAAGCCTGAAGTAGAGTAACATACAAAACTGGCCAAGCATCTGCTTAGTGACAATGTCACATTTTTTTTTTTTATTGGTGGGAATGAAGGGTATAAATATAAAATAAGTCACTGGAGTTTATATTTTAAAGAGAGGTAATGATTAGCAAAAACATGTCCAGTCTGGGAAAACCTGTTAAATGTAGTGAAGTCCATAATAAAAGTATTTGATAAACGTTTCATTATAATGTTACATTAGCTAAAAGCAGCACAACAAAACAACAAGTTCCACTCCCATTACATATACCCAAAAACACTACACCCAAAGGGGAATAGTTATTACAGAAGATAATTAAGTGTCTAATGACTACTTTAGCAAACTGTGGAAGCTGTTATAATGACCATAATTAAGTAATAAACATACTGTCCAACACAATTCCAACTGACAGAAACGAAAAATATGGTGTGTTGCTAATAAAAGGTTAGACGTTAGAGATTTAGTGGAACACTCCAGGCTCTGTTTCTCAACAGGCAAGATGAGCTTCATAGTAAACCTAAAAATTAGTTGATCCAAAATGGTGCAAGGAGGTGCCCTGTCTCCAAGGCAAATTTGCATTAACTGCAGTAATTTGCTAAACATGCTGCAGGTACACATTATAAGCCTGCAACTTTTGTCTCAGATGTCACAGGGCAACACTTTACATGCCGTTTAAATATATATAGGACCGGAAGTAGACAGACACACGATTGTCATCCCACCTTCCTCGGTGGTTCTGTACTGGAGCCAGAGTTGTTGCTGCTGTGCACAGCCACCTTCAGAAAACTGGCCAGTATCTCATGGAGACTCCAGTGCAGGGCCGGGAGGAGGGGGAATCAGGCAGGTGCATTCTATTTTATTTCTGTACCACCTGAAATTGTTTATTTTCCTATTCCTGTTTAGGATGTAAAAATTAGGTTTGCAGGTCACACTGTCCGTATCTATTTTGAAGTGAGGCATACTGTCTTTTAAATTTAAGGTATTCATATCTCACCATCTATCCGTAAAGAGATCTATGACAATACACAACGCAAGCAACAAATCTCAATATCGTCCATCAGTGTAATGAAGAGTGAGCCGATGCCAGTTTATCTATCCCTTAGATAAACTCATTTCAAGGTGTATCTTTGTTTCTGATACCCATAAGAACTCACATTTTGGGCTAACATTTAATGGTTCTTTATCATTTATCTACTCAACTATTGCTTCTATTGGACACTGTTTGAACAATAGTAATGGCTTCACCGAAATCAGAAAATGGAAAAAGGAACCGCAGTCAATTCACTTAAGATAGGGTGCTTGACTGAACAAAGGGCCAGGACAAGCCCAGAAGATAAATACCAGTATTTGAAAAATTGGAGTGCCTGGACCCTTTTTCTAAAACTGGTATTCACTGAAATTAAGTCACTACATGCTATAGGTGCACCAGTGCCCGCTTGCTTTATGGTACTGCAGCTGTGGACTACAGTTCCCATAATCCTCTGCTAAGTGTTTTTCAGCTATCAAGATAAAGAAACATTGAACACACATGAAGCCCAGTAATTGTTTGTTGCTTGCCCATCCATTTTCCCAAAGCATTCTTCACAGCTCAGAATATCACAAACTCTATCCCAAGCCTTTTTAAATTGTTCAAATGCGAAAGTTTTTAATACCTCCACTAGTAGCCATTTAACGATTTACAAAAAAAACACAAAAAACACAATCAATATATGTCTCTCAATAATTTAATGAGAGTTTCCTTTGACACTGATAATGCAATCATCAGACCAGGTGACAGCATGCACTAATCCATGGATGGATGGATAAAAAGTGAGAGGATGTGTGTGTTATGTGATGCAGGCGAGTCAATCAGAACCTGTGATTTGCAGAGTATCACTCAGAATTCCATTGTGAGTGAAACAAAACCGGCTCTTTTATAACATTCTGTCCTCAAAGTGCAATTTCTCTTTTTATATAAAAACTGAACAGATTAGGCAGTTTTTAAAATGTGATACAATGACAGGCTATTTATGCTGACAGACACTTTACTGTTGTCCTTTTACACAACAGATCAGTGTTGAAACAGCACAACTATTAGGACTTTAACCCTTGCAGTGCACAACGGAACAAACACTTTCAAACCACAGAGTAGCACTAGGATTTGCAGCTCAGCGTTCACTTAAACCACAATACATTACAAAACAGTTCAAGTTCATCATGGATTTCTCCATTATAAGGGAGGAAGAGAACCTTGTATAAACTGTTTAGCACAAAACTCATAAAAATTATGTTATTGCTTAAACGTTGCTATAGAATTCAACAGATGTAGGTCTTTAAGAGTTGGCAGATCATGTTATGATTTAGGAATGTCTGACAAACGCATACAAACACACAAAATACCCTGCGATAAAACTCCTACTAATCTTCGCAGCAGCAACGGCTTTAGTGTTCAGCAGCCCAATACATAGAAGAGAAATAGTTACCTACGCACTATACCAAATCCCCATGAACATTTAAATAATTTAGGTTTCCAAAGCCATTAAAGAAAACCTATAGTCCCGAAAATTTTGGAACTAAAAAGGTTCCCTTCTGTCCACCTCAGTTTGGCATAAAAAATAAAATAAAAAATAAAGTGCAAAAAAATGATTACTTACCTTGTTTACAGCCCCGAGATTCCTCTACTGCAGCTCCACCTCTGGTGATGTCTTCATCCAAGCTCATTTCACCCATGATCTCCTTCAATGGACTGGTACTAAGCATGCGCTGCTAAGCAGAATTTGACTCAAGGATGGAGTTTAACTCTGTTCTAGAGGCGGAAGCATCTCATGTGGCTGTCAGAAAGACAGCAATAAGATGTGTATTTAACCCTTCAATGGAAACCGTTTCTACAATACTGCAATTTTTAAATTCCAGTATTTACATGACAGGTCAACTGCACCCAGAGCTCTTCATTGAGATGAAGTAGTCTGGGTAATTTTAGTGGTCCTTTAAATACATGTCACATACAAATGCACAAACTCATTAAGAAAAAACGCAAAAAAATAGAAAGGATTGCCTTTTCTTCCCAAATTCTATTTACAGTACAAAGAGAACATCTAAAACTGCAATGATTTACGTTGCGGGACTGGGGTACTGCACCCAAACCACTTAAATGAGAAGTGGACTGGCTGACTATAGTGTCCCTTTAAACGGATAACGAGCAATCAAGATTGACACAAAAGTTAAATCAGGGATCTACACAGGGAACCTTTAAGGTGGTGGTCCAGCATTAGTGTGAACCTGAGCACACAACTTGTGTATACCTATGCTGGACTCCAACGACTTCAAACTTTGTAAAAATGTTCTTTTAGCAGCTAGACAATATAAAAAGTGAGATGTGAACTATAGGCTAAATTCAATCATCCACAGTGATTACTAATAAAATGTGTAACTGAAAATGTAATGGTTCCTTAAATGCGACCACATTAATCATATGTTGGTTACATGCATGTGTCTAATGCAAGGACTGGCCAACTAGTGATATAATCCCCAAAGCTTGCAAGCCACCCATGTAATAGAGCTTATTCATGTACGCTAGGTTTGTCTGTCTTGTTTTTTAGCCGTCTCAGCACTTATCAAAGCTCCATATGCAAACCACACATCATCAATTCAGTTATGACAAAACGAAAAAAAAACAAAAAAAAACTGGAACATATGGCAAATCTCCCAAAAACAATAACAAGGCAAATTAAAAAAAAAAAAAAAAAAAGTGGGATTCACAGAGACATAAATAAAAAGGATGACTGTGCCTTTCATGGCAAGACTGGGATAACAGCCAGCACTGCAACAGCCATTTAGTTGCAACTCTTATCACTCTTAGAAGAGAAAGAGGAAAACCCAAAACACATAAAGCTGTTTTTCCAAGATTAATTATCTATGCACTTTCAACCATTTTTTTTTTGTCCTGAGAGTTAAATATTTGTAGCATTAAGAAGCTAGCCAAACATTTAACTTATATTGGAAAACAATTTTACCATAAATGTTAAAAATAAAAATACCTTATTGCAAGCTGCAATAATATCTATATATATATATATATAAATTTTTTTTTTTTTAAGGAGCCCTGTGTTCTTCCTTTCAACCATTCATATTGGGGAAAAACTTTAACAAATCACCTATCTTAGCAAACAAGTATGGGGATTCAGTTACACCATATGGCCATATTGTGTTAAAGGACCACTATAGTGCCAGGAAAACATACTCGTGCCCCCACCCTCAGGGTCCCCCTCCCGCCCGGCTCTGGAAAGGGGAAAGGGGTAAAAATGTACCTTTTTCCAGCGCTGGGCGGGGAGCTCTCCTCCTCCGTTCCTCCTCCTGGGCTGAATGCGCACGCGGGGCAAGAGCTGCGCGCACATTCAGCCGGTCGCATAAGAAAGCATTTACAATGCTTTCCTATGGACGCTTGCGTGCTCTCACTGTGATTTTTACAGTGAAGAGCACGCAAGCGCCTCTAGTGGCTGTCAATTGGACAGCCACTAGAGGATTAGGGGGAAGGCTTAACCCATTCATAAACATAGCAGTTTCTCTGAAACTGCTATGTTTATAAAAAAAATGGGTTAACCCTAGCTGGACCAGGTACCCAGACCACTTCATTAAGCTGAAGTGGTCTGGGTGCCTAGAGTGGTGCTTTAAGTCCACCGCAACGTCACCAGACCCCAATATCCGTGAGTCCCAAACTGATTTTTACATGGGAGATTAACATGTTAACTGCAATACTTATTGCTTAAACTGCTTCCAGAGACTGTCCTCAATTTAGTGGTGGACTTGACACAATATAGCCATATGATTAACTGAATATCTATATTTTTTTGCCATGGCAGGTGATTTTGGGTAACCTTGTGTTGTACGCTGTTCCTTAATCTGTATTTTGTATATATTTTGGTCTTTAAGGCGCGCCACTACTTAGAAATACGTGTTCCAGGTGTGTCCCCAATTCCCATTTTTTTCTGAGTAGATTTGGAATCCAGTCCAGATTCCGGTTGGGTTGACCACCCCACTCATCCACAATAGGTGCCCCTCTGGAGGTGACCACAAGATTCTTCACAGCTTACTATGAAAAAGGCTGGGCCATAGTAACATCTGAAAAAAGTGCAGCTGCCATCAGCTAAGGCACCAATTCCATTTCATGAGGAGTGGAATAGCTTTCAAATTGCCATGATACCATATGTACAAAAAGAGGCAGTAGTCCAGAAGCACAGCAGAGGCAAGTGCTTTTATAAAGTACTTACACCCACTACACTCCTCAACCCAGTAAAAACCTCAAGTATGTTTAGTCGGGTAAAAACACAACATAGGCTAGCTGCCCCCAACAAATAGACCGTTCCTCAAAGATGGATATTGATCATTTAAGTCATCTTATATTCACACGCATTTCTATGTGGGGGTCAAAAAATGTATTTTGCTCATCCAGTGGATTCAGTGTCAGTACCCCGAAGTAAAGGGCTTTGATGCCCCGGTGTTCTATATGAAAAAGGAAAAAAACATGCATCCTTTGTGTTTTAAAAACCGTAAAGCATGCTGAACAAGAAGTCACTTAACCCCAGTGAGAATCACACAACTTACAGTGTGATAATATGGTTAAAGAAACCTATGTAGACAACATATACACATTTCAAATTACTCGTAGTCATTCATATGAGCCATCAACAACAAAATAAGTTTCCCATTATTTCAAAAACTATAACTGTAGCCCATATGCCAAAGAGGAACACACTGAGCCAGTTTTACAGGGTCACATATGGTTTGCATGTCACATGCCTTCTGCATTCAGCTACTGAACAGTTGTCAAAGTGTGTGCACATCCTTTGCCAACCAACTGGGATTAGTGAATATTACAGACGGAGCCGCAATATGTTGTACTATAAATGCAATAATACACTAAGAATTTGGTGGAAATGAAAAAAAACAAAAACAAAACAAAAAAAACAATAAATATATATATATCCCCTCCTGAGTCCCAGTCCATTAACGTGTGTCCTCTGTACTGGACATTGAATTCACATGCATCTCCTTTTGTTCTTTTGAGCTACTCTATAAATCCCTGCTGTATTGTAAAGATGACATACTGAGCTTTCCAGTGATATGTCATGTGATAGGCTGGGATCTTCCTCTTCCTTTTCATCAAAAATGGAAAGAAATTGAAAGAATTGTTTTTCCCTCTGTTCCCTGGAGGATATAATACTTGTCCACAAGACATCAGTAAAGGGAGTTTGGGTCAGATTTTAAACATAGAATCATAGTCTGAATTTTGGGTCTGAATTGTACAGTACCCATGGTTTTGGAGGTTTGGATCTTCCAAAACTTAAACAAGATGCATTTGACAGTCTTATCTGGCCTCCCAATTCAGCAGAATACCTTGGATAGACAGAAGATTGAACACTGCAATGCTGAGACGCACTAGATACTATGAATTAGCAGAAGACGATTGACATGTACTTTAACCCTCTAACAAATGATGCGTCAATATATGGAATGTTTTATATACCCATTTTCTTTTCTCCGTCCTGCTACTAAAACACGCTGTACTTGGCACAGTTACAGACTAAATCCAGGTCCCTGTAAGTGGCTAATAATCAGAGATAAAATATTTATTCCAGCAGGATACACACTTAATAAAGCAATGTCCCTGCTCGAACATAACAGATAATTCCAAACTTGTAATGAGTCATGACTTTATAAACTTCAGCTATAACCACAAATAATAGTGTGCCATAGTCTTAATTTTAAAGCATATCATTACTTCTTTAGAAGTCTGTTCAATAGATGCGTGCTTAAATTTACATTTCCCAGCAAACCTTGGATAATTCTGGGAAGCACCATATACTTACTTAGATTACAATATTCTATAACCCACAGGTTTGCCACTCAGCAATGCAGTGGTGCAAAAATGCCCACATGCCCATGCCTACCGGACAGCAGCATGGAGGGACTTAACGCACGATAGCAACTCAGTGCACAGCCATAACAGATGTCAACACCACACGAAATCTCTCTTGGGACCACAGACTTCTTGAGGCCTAACTAGCATATTAGAACGGTTTCTAAAAGGTAAAATAACAGATAATGTGAAACTGGGTTCTGGTGGGAAGGGACGAACTAACTATAAGGGGCTGCAATACACATTGCCTGCATGCAGCACACAACAACCTTGGTCACAAAGATATTGTATTACTGTGAAAAGTTTTGTTTTGCTATAGTATGTTAACCCTTATTGTACAACAAAATATATTTGATATCTGTCTTTCCACCTGAACGCTCATTCACAAATAAAAAATTATAAAAAATAAAAAAAAATCGCCACGTGCCCAGTTGTAAGATACTGACACTATACGAAAGGAGGGGGGAAATGCTTTTTAAATTGAGATTTTGCAAGAAGTGGAGGTGCCTGGTCGACACCCCAATGTAAGCAGTGTAACTTTTTACCTGGTGTCTGGCAGGCTCTGCTCCCTAAATGCACAAGCACACTCCTGGAACTATAACCAGAGAAAGAATGTTCCACCTGTGAATGGTTGGCATCATCCATGCATGCTGTGTGCCATCACCCTTTTCATCATTTCACTAAACAATCCAACATGATAGATTTGTTTGATCAGCTTTGAGCTAACAGAGGAGATGTTCTCATGGCAATAGACAGAATATGCAGCTAATCCTAAAATACATGTACTTTTTGGATTTCATCTAGAGCTTAAATGCTTTACTTTAGCTTTTTCAGCACATGCCTTAGTGAACTAAGTAAACTATTTACTAGCACAATACACACACTGTTGAAACATGTAACACCAAACATTGCCTTTACTTCGACTTCGGACCCATGTATTAATAGGAACAGTATAGTGTTAGGAATACAAACCTGTGCCGGTTCAGTTTTATTTTTTGTTGTGATTTTATTTCGCAATAAACCATATGATGAAAAAACTGTTATTCTGACATTCACTCCAATCTTCAGTTTGCCTATTTTATATATTTTAAACACCTAATCTGGGATCATAGCTACAAAAATGTACTAAGAATACAGCCCAAAGGATCAGCTAGATACAGGTTTCCCCAAATTCCGGCCCTCCAGATGTTGCTGAATTACAACTCCCATGATTCTCAGCCTATTTCATTCATAGAATCATGTGAGTTGTAGTTTCTCAACATCTGGAAGGCTGGATTTTGGGGAAGTCTGAGCTGGAAGACAGCTTTTTATTACCCAATTGACTTTGCTTCAATAGAATGTGCACACTGGTCGGCAGCACTTTTCATGCACAGATGCTGAACAAGGGGAGGTGATGCAAGATCTAACAAAATATGGTGAATCTAGCAACCCTATGTTTTGCTCTGAGTGAGTGTAAAGCAGTGTTTCTCAACACCCCTGCAGGTTTAAAAAAAATTCATAAGTACGTCTGCCTCAAGAAAGTAATTTCTATTGATTCCAACTGAAACATGTAGAAACTGATATTTAAAGGATTACTCCAAACACCATTACCACTTCTGCTTTTTTAAGTGGTCATAGTCGGAATCTGGGTGTGCAGTAATTCGGCTTGAAACACTGCACATGCAGAGTAATTTGCACTTGTGTTTTGGGGGCAACTGAGCATAAAATAAATGTAGTCAGCGCACACGGCATGCCTTGTCTAATCCGCAATCAAAGTCTACGCCCTCCCTACCTTCGATGGCTCGGAGCATTACCATGCGCCATGATTAAAAAACAAACATTTAAATGTACCCATCCAACTACACTTTTGAAAGGTTTCTCTGAAGTCTTCGATCCAAATTAGCGACCTTCCCATTTATTTTTTTACTTAGAAAGCTGATGCTTGGCCTGTGTCACTTATGGGGCTTCTTAGGAGGTCACAATTTCTTTTTACTGCAGATGTCAGACTGTGGCTAAACATGAAAGCTTAGCCATGCTAATAAAAGGTTTGTGATGCAGCCCTTATTTATTTATTTTTGGCCCCTGCTGACAAGAGGGAAACATCCCATATCAGGGTTTCCCTAGTAACAGCGGGGGAACAGGGGAAAATTTGCATGACACTATTATTCTGTCCAGAGCCTAGACTACAAAGATGGAATAATTCTGTCATAAAACCCCACAAGTACCATTTAAAGCAGGGGCTATTTAGCCTTTAAATCATTTTCTTTTATATGCATTATTATAATTATTTATATAGCGCCAGCAATTTCCTTAGCACTGTACATGACATTAGGATGGCGTTCCATGCCTTAATTTTATACTAAGGAAACCCATTCTTAAATTTTAGCCTTATTAAGTCCTGCAATGTACTCTAATCTTTACTTTGATCTAGCAAGAAGTATTTACGGGAGTTATTAGAAGTAATGTGCAAGCCTTCATAAAACCAAATGAATGATCAACTGATATGAACAACCATACAAATTCCTTAACATCATTGTGTTTACTTATATATGAATCATTAGCTGTAATAAGTATGATACAATGAAATAGGTAAGATAAAGACTTGTCACAAAGTTTAAAGGAACACTACAGGATCAAGAACAGAAACATATTCCTAACCATTTAGGTGGTTTGCCCCCTTAACTTCATTTACAGCATCCTACGCCGATCTGCCTCCTTGCAAACATCAGAATTTACGATTTCAGCTAATCCAATGCTTTCCCATAGGGAAATCATTGGATTGGCTGAAATAAGCAAGGCCAAACGCCGGCTTGTCCAATCACCACCTCGTCAGAGTGTGGAGATTCTGAACAGCAGTGCTGCACAGCCCAAGGGAAAACCTCCAGTGGACACCTGAGTGGCAGCCACTTGGAGGTGTCCCTAGGGGGCAATGGAAACACTGCATTTTCTCTGAAGGTCAGTGTTTACATGAAAATGCCTGCAGGGAATGATTATACTCACCAGAACAACTACATTATGAAGTTGGGGAGTTCAAAGTAACAAGGGAAAAAGAAAATACTTCTCCATTCTGGTTTTAATCATTTAAAAAAAAATAAAAAAGCACGGTTTTTGATTTTAAGAAAAAAAAATGGCAGTCAGTTGGATATGGATACACATTCTAAATATATTTTAATTATATCCATGTTAAAAGATAAGATCACACAGCCTAAACAGTACTAAGAAAACCAAGTAAGAGCAACTCATCAATAGTCACCCTAATTGCTTAAGGTCAGAAATTATTCACAGTATAGAAATGTTGCTATAAACACTATACAGTAGTGTTTCTTTAAAGTGGGACCCAATAAAAATGTGATTTTGCGATGTTAGATCTTCCTGTTGCCAGAAAGGAACCCTGATTTCCCAGGTCACCTTGAAAATAAGAAAGGGAACAATGTTCAATATTAACAGAACAAGAAAAGAAAGAATCAAATCGTATCTACAAAATATGGTGGTACATGGTCACGGCACATTTAGCTTATATAGAACTCCTATGGTGGGAAAAAGTTCCACTTACTACAAACAGCATTGTCACAAACTAACCATCCAAGAAACAAAAAAAAAATACATTCTCACCTACCCCATAACACACAAAACTGTACAACAAGGTCCTATTTTTGGTCACTAGGCACAGTGTACGTAAGGACACAAAAAGTGTAAAATGAGACCTGATGAATGATTGACAGCTGACATTAACTCTGCCTTGAGGCAGTAGAGATGTCATGCTATGTTAATGGAAATAGCTACTTCAGTAGTCAAGTTATGGATATCCCTCTGGAATAGACAATAACTAGATCTGAACAATTTTGAGCTCTATGTGGACTGGCTTGATAAGCAAGGAGCTACTTTGTGGATTTTTCAGCTTTTCTTTTACCCAGTCAACATGACCATTAACACTGCCACTGGTTTGAATTTAAAGAACATTACTACTTCAGGTTTCTTAACATAAAGAAGCACAGGACACCTCAATGTGAATTCAAGTACAGTGTCCACAAATAATTATAGGATTCTATTTTCCTCCCATCATTCAAGATACTTAGCATTTCTATTCTTAGGAGCCCTGCAGCAGCAAAGCAACGCAGGAGAATATCCCTTATTCTCTGAATAGAGTTTACTGAATGCACGTGTAACGCTACCCTACTTTTTATGCCAGATCCAGTATGATTGCGAAATGAGGCAAATGGCAGTTTTGGGCTTCACGTACCAATGAGAGCAGAACCGCCATTAAAGGAACACTATAGGGTCAGGGACTCAAATGTGTAGTCCTGACCCTAGTGTAAAAAACACTATTTAGGCTCCTGGACCCCCTTTGCTCTCCTTATACAGAGTAAAAAAACCTCACCTTTATTCCAGCGCTGCGCTTCTCCGCTAGCCCTGCCAATTTGGCTGAGAATTAGAACGGACAATCTCAGTCAATCAAATTATTTCCCATAGGAAAGCATTAAGAGGCTAATGCACACACACGGCACTGAGTCGCACCAATCTGCATCTTCTCATAGAGATGCACTGAATCAAAGCGTCTCTATGGTAAAAATTAAACGACTGCATGCAGAGCATGGAGATGCTGAACGTCAGTTGTGCAGCACTGACTCAGGTAGCACCTCTTATAGCCATATGAGTGACTGCCACTGGAGGTGTTACTAGGCAGTAATTCAAACACTTGTGTTTACATGAAAATGCCTGCAGGGACATACCATACTCAACAGAACTAACTACATTAAGCTGTTGTTCTGTTAACTATACTGTCCCTTTAAATGTGTATAATTTCCATTTGTTGATATTCAAGACTGTTTAGGATTATTTTCGACTAGCTTAGCACTCACCTTCTTTATAACAGCAGCTTCTGTGTACAGCAGCACTATCCCACAGAGATCCTTAGCAAGCATGTCCTCGTAAAATCAATATAAACATACCACTGAAGCACTCGTGACATTGCTCTGCCAAATTTAGTAGATGTTACTTAACATCAAATGAAAATAATGAACCTATAGATATAAGAAAATTAAGAAAACGAAAGGTCTAGAAGTAGTCACTGATACAGCTGAATTAAGGGCACTTAACACTAGAAATCTTGCCTAATGGTATCAGTTTAAACCTTTAGGGTGTAGATAGACTACTGGTAATGAGCCAGCACTTGCAAACTATTTTGGGCTAATGGTTTCTGCAATATCAAAGGGAAAGTAGACTATTTTAAGTCACTGTCAGAAATAGACATCTGGCTTTTTATCGAGATCTCTGTATATAAAAAAATATATATTGACATCTCCATTTATCTACTTATAATCTGCCTGGAAAAAAGAATGAGGGAAACCAAGAAATGCACCAGAACCTACGGCAATAAGTTTTGATAATGACTCAAGGCACCACTATTAAGCATATGTAGAATAAAAAGTCTCATCTATACTAATGCCAATGCTATATGTATACTTTATTCAATATATTAAAACAAAAAAAATCCATTATCAATATGTATATATAACAATTAAAGCGTCTGTCAACTTCTAAGGTATTTGCATATTTTTAAAGATCCCCCAATGGTGACATCGCCACTTGGCATGTGGTGGCCCAGTGGGGTGCCGTGCAGGCAAGGTATATTTACTTTATGGTGTCCCCCATGGGGGCGCCATCTTCAAACTTTAGCTCTTGGGGATGCATTCACCAGGAGCTCATGTCTGTGCTGTACTCTCGTGCATGAGAGTACAACACGAATGTCTATTAAGGATACTACAAGATTGCAGTTCTCACAATGAGTCATAACAGCTGGGGGAAGTGACAAAATTTGACAACGGTAGCTCCGCCTTTTGTCAAAGTGTTGGCTTTACTGTAAGACAAAAGTAGTCCCTACTGCATCACATCTTTTGAGTGTGTGGAAATTTTTAATTTTATAAACTTTTCATATATATTTTTTTTGAGTGGAAGGTTGACAAATCCGTTTTAATTTCTAATCAGCATTATTTTATTAGTAGGACACTATACGCACCAAAACAACTTTAGCTTAATCAATCAGTTTTGGTTTAGTATAGATCACGCCCCTGCAGTCTCACTGCAAAATTTTCTGCCATTTAAGAATTAAATCACTTTGTTTATGCAGCTCTAGTCACACCTTCCTGCATGTGACTTCCTAAACACTTCCTGTAAAGTGAGATCTAATGTTTATTACATAGTTTAATGTAGAATTTCTACATTACACAGGCACATCATACATAATTTCTGCCAGAACCCCCTTATCCAGGACCATATCCCCACACAATTTATTTTCCTGGAAAGCTTGTCACCGATCGTCCTTGCTGTCCAAAAAGTGCCACAATTGTAGAATGTGACAGTTATACCATGTTAATGTTTTACCAGTTGCGGCTATTCCGATCTGGCGACAAGTTACAGGTGTGCAGCGGCTTAGTCCCAGTCTCCAAAAAAGGGGTTCCCATCCTATGGTGTTGGATGCGCTCTCAAGCCCCAGGTATCCTTCAATGCCTCTTTTCCTCCCCGATTTACCCTCCAAATAGCACTACATTTGGAAGTTGTGGGACCAAGCAATACCCACTGAAAAATTTACGAAATCTCAGCATTGTCCCGATCCGAGAAACACTTGTTCAGTGCTTCAGAGTATCATCCAGTCAGGTGCTCGATATTTAAAATAAGTCTAGGCGATCTCCAGATGTCCTCAAGTCCAGCTGGGAAGCACAGAAAAGATCCAGGTACCCCATAACCCTCCCAACAGTGACAAGAAAACCTTTTAGAGGCTCTTGTGCCCAGGCCCATAGTCTGTTGGCAGACCTTTAATCCTCTCTAAAAGGCCATGGCACAGGAGTTTCCACTGCACGTGTCCTTTTAAAAACTTTTGTAAAAACTGTAAAAAACCTGCAGTAGATATTCTAATCTGCAATCTACCAAGTTTTGTCACACAGTACATGCAGCATATTTAGATTTAAAAAACAACAAATAACTGGAGAGGTTACTCAAAATTCTTTATTAAAAATTGGACTGTGTTGGGGGCGGAGCCAGCACCTGAACGAGCCAGACATCTCGCAGAAGCTCTGCACGAAAAACCTGCAAACGGCTGTTTACTGGCATAAAAGACACACATACTAACCCTCAACTGCTGCCCCAAATACTCTGCACCATGGGGAAGAAGGCGAAGGAGTACAGAGCACAGAGCAGATCCCAGCCTGGGCACCAGATATATGGGGGCTTCCATGCACATGGCCATGCGGCCTGATCCTCTCAAGATGGCACCGGCAGACTGCATCCCCCTCATCGGACGACGGCCCACAGTAACCAACTTACCTGTAATCTCGCAGGTACAGGCGAAGCCTATGGCACCCTTGGAGCTGGGGACTATGCTCCCGCCACGAAAGCAGACATAAAGGCATTGGTGAAGGACATCCAAGTCATGTTCCACGCAGACATGGCGCTTGTCAGGGAAAAGCTATCCACACTTACCAAACTGGTGGCGACAGCCGAAGAACACATCAAGGGCACAGGGGTGCCTCAAATGGCCACGGGTACTGCCCTGAGTTCGCTGCAGAAACAATGCAGTTCCCTGACAGCACAACTAGCAAGCATCGAGGATAGTGTCAAAAGCATGAAATATGAGGATTCGAGGGGTGCCGGAATCAGTCACCAATACTGAATTGCCCCATTACTGCATGAGGCTCATAGCCACGCTATTATTACTTAAGCAGGTCAAGCAGCTTGAAGTTGACACTGTTTTTCGTCTACCTAGGGCCACCAAAGCGCCCAAAGATGCTCCACGCGATGTGCTGATCAAATTTTTGGAACTCAGACAGGGGGTCCTTATGGGACACTTTTCATAGACATTTCCAGGCACACCCTCATGTGGAGGAGATCGTTGCAACAGGTCACACAGCAGCTCCGAGAGCACTCTATCCCCTATAAATGGGTTCCCCATCAATTACTGTCTGAGTAATCGATTTGGTACAACTGTCAGAGGTGCTGACCTTTCTCAGGTCTCTGGGTATACTGGAGGAAGCAATACCCACAGCAGCTGGCCCATCGTGGTCTGTTGGCAGCATCAACCCCTTTGTACCCAGGGGACCGGGACTAAGTACAAATGTCTTACCCACATGAATCAACCGCTGTTGATATTTGTGCTGCAATTTCATGTTCTACTTACCAACGTTTGGTTTAATTTTTAATTTTAACTGTTTGCTTAGTTAATATTTCAACTGTTAAGGGTAGTGAATGCATGGAATAGCCTTCCAGCCAATGTGGTAGAGGTTAACACAGTAAAGGAGTTTAAGCATGTGTGGGATAGGCATGAAGCTATCCTAACTATAACATACGGCCAGGGACTAATGAATGTATTTAGAAAATTGGGCAGACTAGATGGGCCAAACAGTTCTTATCTGCCATCACATTCTATGAGACTTTATTTTAATAATGCACGAACCAATGTGCCTGGCTCTGTAAGCTGATACACGGACAATTGCCTAGTTAATAACCCCCTCCTCCCCACTACTGGGACGTGCATTGTCTCCTTTCCAGTCCGCAAGCAATATTTGATCAGAAGCGGATCTAGCTGGCCCTACCGTCCACCAGCCATCCGTTCAGAAGGTCCTAGGTTATAGATAACGACCAAGCTTAAGCTCTTTAATATAGCCGCGACTTAAACTTACATATTTTATGACATACTCTATACAGTTACTTACACAGGAGCTTTAAGCTCCAGCCCATAATCTGACTACACTATGGCTGAGATAGGAGGGATTTAAGCTCATCTAACATTTAAGTCTATACATTAATTGTGCCAACGTGTATACCTGTTGATTGATACCTTTTCTTCACACAATGTACCGGAATGTTAATGCTTGCCCATAAAAATAAAGAATAACAAAAAATTTAAAAACTTGGACTGTGTTGATTTTCTTTTAGAAGAGAGCCACTGCACAATGTGAATACTTCATAGTCTTTTCAAAAGGTGTCTGCTGTTCTAAGGACCCAATCAGCCATCTACTTGAAAGGATGGGTAACGAAATGCATTTGGAGTTCCGGAAAGAAATTAAGAAGGGGAACCTGAGCACTAGATTAACTGAAAAGGTAAACCGTTGAACCATTATCTCTGCCTCTGAGCATCCTTTCTTTGCGCAAGACTTCCAATAGGCTCACTGGTTCAGATCTCAGCAAGACACAATAAGAGAAAGTTTGAAAGCAGTACTAACAGGTGAAAGACTGAATATATTGGGGTTAAACTGTTCATTAACGGTTTAACCCTTTTAGGTAAGCTGGCACCTTGAACCTCCTCGCACCATAACTTAATTCCAATGCAGTTATGTTGCCCATAGTTTCCCTTTAATATTTTGTTTCCAAAACAGTCATCTTGGTTTAACGGTTTCAGATCAGAAGGAATTTTGCAGTGCACTCTGGAGACACAATTTAATGTCATGACACAAGGAAATGGCAGCTATCCAAAGTTAGAACCAGAAGAAAACACAATCAAGAAATTGTCAAAAAACAAAAATAATGCAAACAGTATTTTGCATATGTTATAAGTCTGCCTACTCTGCACTTTATGCAGCTCAGAACTTCAACTATATATTGTGCTTCCATGCCTCCCAAATTGCCAACTTCCAGCAGAACAGTACAGTCCAGACTTTGGGATCCTGGTGACACCAGGGAGCATTCCATCATTAGATGCCCTCATGCAGTGCTGCGGGCACTGGGACCATGCAGAGTGTTTCGGCATGATAGTCCATTTTCTCCAAATTAGTCACTGTTTGCCTAAACTTTGTAAGTCACTTATAAATTCACCACAATACTCTGTTGAGTGAATAGACCCCAATGCATTCCCATGAATAAATATGGCATACATAACCGTCCTTTCTTGCTTCCTTAGTAGGGTATTAATATGCCTTAAACTAAAAGAAACTGAACCTCTTACGGATCAGGGCTCTTGAGATGCAACAACTTCAAAATTTTGGCACTTTTGCCATGCATTCACTCAACCACAATTTTGCCTTTTCTGTTTAAGTGCACCCATACACAACGACGACAGAGTCATGGGACTGTTATGAGGTTAAAAGGAAGTGACTTATCACTTCATCACATTGAACAGTTTAACACTGAATCAGATTCCCCAGCAGACATAGCCTCTCAATGCAGCTTATCAATGCATTCCTATTAACCAGAACAGAGGTAGAAAGTGACAGACTGAGTATATCAGCTGACCATCGCTGGTATGACTTAGTATTGCTAACGTGAAAAGCAATCTCTGCCTAGTCAGACCTCCAGGGAGCACTGGGGAACACTTGTTCAGCATTAAACCATTTGAAAACATTTTAAAACTGAAGGCAAAGAGGGCCTAGTGTCATCCCTCTATGAGAGGGTCCCTTTAAGAACAATTTGGTTTCCATGCCAACTAGTGGGCAGACTTTTTATTTTTTATAAATAAATACATTCATATCAATGCAGCAAAATTGCATAGCTAAGAAGATAAAGGGTTATTCCACACACCATAATCCCTATAGCAAGCATGTCAAACTCGCGGCCCACTATGAATAATTTTGCAGCCGCGAGCTTGACATGCTTACTAAAGCAGAGTAGGCACCCGCTTTCTCCACATTGCAGGTGTCTACTCTGCTCATTTACCTGGCCGGGAGGGAATGGGGGGGCGTTCTCTGGCAGCAGCTCAGTCTTCTTGCTCCTCACTGCCCCCTTGCACGCGCCGTCTGGAGTGAAGCCGATCACCGGAATATGACGTCATATTCCGGCACCACTAAACTGCGCGTGCAGGGGCAGTGAGGAGCAAGAACGCGGAGCTCTCCCAAGAGAAGATTAGAGAGAGGTCCCACACCAGCTCCCAAAGGTAGGGAGCAATGAATACAATGATGCAAGTGTGTGCAAGAATGTTGAAGTGTATGTGATGGTCAGTGTGTGTCTCTGTCAGTGTGTATGTGTGTTGGTCAGGGTTGCGATGGCAGCGGCTGGACAGTGGAGAACCTGGCGGGGCATGCAACGCCACATTCTGACGTGACATTAATGTGTTCCACTTTCACAGGTTTTCAAGGAGTAGCAGGAGGATCCGTTTGGCACAGGATGCGGACAGCGCCATTGGGGGTATACCAGAGGCTGGACTCCGGAGTCGGATACTGGCAACGGCAATGTGAGTGGAGTCTGCTCGTTGGCTAATATTGTTTTTTTGAACAAGGGCTGGGGTTTACTAGAGGGGGGTGCTGGGGACTTTGAATAAGTACAGAGGGAGGGCTGTAAATTAGTACAGAGGGGGATGCTGTTTTTTTATACTGTATTTTTTTTAAACAAACCTACGTTTCTATGAAAATGTAAAGTTTGTTTTTTTTGCGGTCCACATAAACCTAAACCTTGTTTATGTGGTCCGTGCTAGCCTTTGAGTTTGACATGCTTGCCCTATAGTGATTAAGATGCCAAGAGTACCCTTGCTCCATTTCCCAGTTATGGCCTCTTACATCTTCTCTAGTTGGTAGCATGCCTGCAGCTTCTGCAGAGTTGGAGAAGTAGGATGCCGAACGTCTGAGAGCGCCAGCTGACCGCTATAAGGCCAACGTATGTAACTCTGTGCATGTAAATATGTACGCTTAGGTGAAGTTATACCTCAAGCAACAAAGAGGTTAATTTCCATATTTGCAGCGATTCAATGCACATAGACTCCAGGCAACATAAGCACTTCAAATCACTGACATGCTCATGGTGCTAGGATTAACACTAGTTTAAAAGGAAAATGAGCACCATAACTACTGCATCCTGTGATTGTGTTTTGTGATTAGAGGAGGCTACAATCTTTATGTCCAGGTTCGGTGTCAAACCAGTTGTGCATTTTTACACAAACATCAAGACCCAGCCCTTTGCTCACTGGATTGCAAAACTTCAGGATTAGCAACGTAAATTCTGTCAAAATTTGGATGCCACTGATTGGCCGGGAGAGTGAGAAGATGTGAAGCCAATAAATGCAGTAGAAATTTTGAAGAAACTGAATTCAACTTCTGTTTATCCACTTTCACTTGCTGTAGTGGTTATTGTGCTTGTTTAAAACAGGTCATTCCGCACATTTTGTTCCTGTGCGTTTAACTTGTCTTAGTTGCAACCAATTGTTAGCCCACCTAATGTATAGCTCTGTGGAATTTGTTTGTGCTTTATAAATAAAAATAATACAGTGCCCCTATAAAGTGAGTAAAAGAGGTTGTCAGACCAGAAAAAACAATTAAATTTTTTAGTTAATTATCAGTCTTTGACCACAAACTTTGGACCAGGGGTTAGCAGCTATGACACACCCATATGAGTAATTAGTATTTCATAATGATTGTGTTGGAATTTCACTATAACTCCAACTTAGTCAAAAGATAGAGACACACAAAATGTACGGACTACTGTGCCTCAGTATTTTCCCTATGTTTGACAATCTTGACAAAAAAGCAGAATTGTCCTTTCCCCCTGCCTTTACCGGTGATGGCTGTAGGGAAATAAAGCAATCTCTATGGAGGATCTGGCAGTCTTGCGGGATCCTCCATGGATTTCAAGGCTTTTCTGTGGCACATGCGCTGGCATTGGCACCTAGCAGCTGAAGTGCCAGGAGCTTAAATAGAGCATTCAGAAGAGGATGGCGGCACCCATGAATCCCCCCACCATGGCCACGGGACACCCAGCGGCGATGTCTGTCGAGCGTCTATACAAATTATGCAAAGCCCCCAGATGGTGGCCAAGCCGCTTTAAGAGAGTCGTATTAGGCAGAATTTTATAAAAGCACAGAATGCTTTGAATGGCCTACAACTCCTAAATTCTTTGAATGCAATGGATGGCCAGAGCTGTAGTTAAAGAGCATCTGGAAAGGGGAGGGGGTGTAGGACTTGAATGGTCTGTTTTAATGACATACATGTTCATGGGATACAAATAACAGTAACCACAATGCATGTAACAAAACACAGATATGCAAACAAGGGTAAACATTCTACAAATACTAATATCACTGCAGAATTAGCTTTAACTGAACTAATCGCACGTATTAAACTTTGCTGTCTGTGACCACTGCCTTGGTTTCTAGCACAGAATTGAAGGAACCAACACAAACTGCTGTATGCTACGCACTGCAGTGTCCTTTTCTCAGCAGTAGCAAAGAGCTATTGTGCTGAAGCCCAGTTAACCAAGTGCCAGTAATCAAGCAACATGCATGTTTTAATGTGAAAAAGCATTTGACAAACATGCAAGCCATCAATTTCATGACAAGGACGTATATGTAACAGTATACTGCCTTTTAATGTAAAGTGATGATTGCCATTTATAACCTGGCAAGATCGCTGCAATTCAGAGTAAAGAGTTATGATTAGAATATGTCTGAAGAAAGTCTTGAGGACACTACGCTGTGCCGTCTGCCCTTCAGGAATCATAATGGCACAAGATGAACAGCAATAGACATTTTACACTAGACTGTGCAGTAAAAAAAATAAAATTCTACCGGAGGACTGTATTGTGTGCAATTTAAATTCCCAAATTTTGTAGAAACTGGCTTGATTTTTATTTAAAAATAAAAAAAAACACACAGATTGGTACATTTCTACAAGTCTTTATAAAGTGCAAAAACAAAATATTAGGTGACAACAGAAAATTATAGCAGCCAATTATATATTTAATTTGTGAAGAACTGGGTACAAGGAACTAGACAATCTTTTATAAATCGGATTAAAATAAAAGGTTTTGTAATTGGATTTCAAAGCAGTGCTTTAACCATTTAAACAGAGATTGTGAAGAATTAATAAGAAACTTCAAGATGAAGGTCAAGCTTTCTGAACTGGAAAGAATTCTCTAACTCAGCTATTTTAGACTAAAATCTGCAATTTTCTTGTCCAGTCCTGGTTCAGTGAGCTAACTTCACAGGTTATTCTTTAGCAGGAGGAGTTAAAGAAACACTGCAAACACCCTAACAACTACAGTGCGTTGTAGAAGTTATGGTGCATGGAATGGCCAAGCAAGTTGTTAAACAATTTTTGTAACAGTTTGTCTTCTTAGCCGGGGTCTGCTGGTAGCCTGTCCCAGCCACCATGAGAAGCTTGAGGCACTCGCTAGGAGCTTCCTTTAGCTCTCCTAAACTAAATCCTGCTGTGCAGGCTAGGCTTATCTAAGGGAGGAGAACTACCATCTAGGAGACAAAGCTGAAACTGAACCCCTGGTAAGAAGTCTGCAAGAACCGTGGTAGGGTTGGGTGCCAGGGCACTCTGGGCCCCATAACCACTACAACGCCCTGTTGTGATTATGGTCTTTAGAGTGTGATTTTAAATAAGTAGTGAAATACGTATAATATAGAAGACTTACTAAATAAAGAACATAAATCTTAAGTCAAAACAATATAATAACCAAGAGATAAAGACTGTAGAGCAGGGAAATTCAGATCACCCAATGTTTTAGAAGTACAAATACCATGATGCCTTGTCAGACTCTGCTGCATAGAAGGTAGAGAAGGGTTTACCTATGTGTTATAACATTACTTAGTGATATCATATTTAAGACTTGGGATTTGCACAGCTTTCATGTACTTGGGTGTATTTCAGGGAGGTCATGCCAAACTAATATTATTGATTTTTTTGATTGGGCAACTGAAATAATAGATCAGGGTGGTGCAGTAGACATTGCTTACCTAGATTTCAGTAAGGCTTTTGACACTGTTGCACATAGAAGGCTTATCAATAAACTACAATCTTTAAATTTGGATTCCAATATTGTTGAATGGGTAAGGCAGTGGCTGAGTGACAGGCAACAGAGGGTTTTAGTCAATGGAGTATATTCAAAGCTTGGGCTTGTCACCAGTGGGGTACCTCAGGGATCTGTACTTGGACCCATTCTCTTTAAAAATTTTATTAGTGATATTGCAGAAGGTCTTGAGGGTAAGGTATGTTTTTTTGCTGATGATACTAAAATTTGCAACAGGGTTGATGTTGCATAGAAACATAGAATGTGACGGCAGATAAGAACCATTCGGCCCATCTACTCTGCCCAATTTTCTAAATACTGTCATTAGTCCCTGGCCTTATCTTATAGTTAGGATAGCCTTACGCCTATCCCACGCAGGCTTAAACTCCTTTACTGTGTTAGTCTTCCAGCTGAAGTGGTAGAGGTTATGTCCTCTTGTTGTGGTAGTTATTCTTCTTTTAAATATAGTCTCCTCCTTTAATGTGTTGATTCCCTTTATGTATTTAAATGTTTCTATCATATCCCCCGTCTCGTCTTTCCTCCAAGCAATACATTTTAAGATCCTTTAACCTTTCCAGGTAAGTTTTATCAAGCAGTCCATGAACCCATTTAGTAGCCCTTCTCTGAACCCTCTCTCAGGTATCAATATCCTTCTGAAGATACGGTCTCCAGTACTGTGTACAATACTCCAAGTGAGGTCTCACCAGTGTTCTGTACAATGGCAGGAGCACTTCCCTCTTTCTACTGCTAATACCTCTCCCTATACAACCAAGCATTCTGCTAGCATTTCCTGCTGCTCTATTACATTGTCTGCCTACCTTTAAGTCATCAGAAATAATCACCCCTAAATCCCTTTCCTCATATGTTGAGGTTAGGACTCTATCAAATATTCTGTACTCTGCCCTTGGGTTTTTACGTCCAAGATGCATTATCTTGCACTTATCCACATTAAATGTCAGTTGCCACAATTCTGACCATTTTTCTAGTTTACCTAAATCATTTGCCATTTGGCTTATCTCTCCTGGAACATCAACCCTGTTACATATCTTAGTATCATCAGCAAAAAGACATACCTTACCATCAAGACCTTCTGCAATATCACTAATAAAAATATTAAAGAGAATGGGTCCAAGTACAGATCCCTGAGGTACCCAACTGGTGACAAGTCCAAGCTTCGAATATATTCCATTAACTACAACCCGCTGTTGCCTGTCACATATTCCAGGAAGGATAAGCCAAATGGCAAATGATTTAAGTAAACTAGAAAAATGGTCAGAGCTGTGACAACTGACATTTAATGTGGATAAGTGCAAGATAATGCATCTTGGACGTAAAAATCCAAGGGCAGAGTACAGAATATTTGATAGAGTCTTAACCTCAACATCTGAGGAAAGGGATTTAGGAGTAAAAATTTCAGATGACTTAAAAAGTAGTAAGACAACTTAATAGAGCAGCAGGAAATGCTAGCAGAATGCTTGGTTGTATAGGGAGAGGTATTAGCAGTAGAAAGAGGGAGGTGCTCATGCCATTATACAGAACACTGGTGAGACCTCACTTGGACTATTGTACACAGTACCGGAGACCGTATCTTCAGAAAGAAATTGATACTTTTGAGAGAGTTCAGAGAAGGGCTACTAAACTGGTTCATGGATTGAAGGATAAAACTTACCAGGAAAGGTTAAAAGGATCTTAACATGTAAAGCTTGGGGGAAAGACGAGACAGGGGGGATATGATAGAACCATTTAAATACATAAAGGGAATCACCATAGTAAAGGATGAAAGTATATTTAAAAGAAGAAAAACAAGAGGACAGAGTTTTAAATTAGAGGGACAAAGGTTTTAAAAAAAAATGACACATTGAAAGGATTTACACATTTATATCTGAAAAAAATGCATTTTTCTTCTCAATTCTCTACAATTCCTATTTAAGTGAACAAACATGTTCATCTCATAGATTGTTCGCTTTTTTGAGCAGGGCCTTCAACCCGTCTGTTATATTCCATATGTAAAACTACTTGTTATATATCTCATTTTATAATTGTAAAGCACTGCAGTGTATGTTAGCGCTATATAAATGATAATCATGTCACAGGATAGGGGGGCCTGTGGGCCAGACAGACACATAGACATATGCACACAGCCAGTTACAGAGGAAAAGGAGGAATGTTCACAGGAAGTTCAGACAGATTGAGCAAGGAGGGGCTAATAGCAATCCCAAGTAACACAGAGACAGCTAAACAAAGACAGTAGACCGTATGGGAGAAGATCTGAAGGGAAATCCGCTCATTGAAATAATAGACAGATCTGAAAGTAACATCACAAAACGTAGTAGTCAGAGAAAGAATGCAGGCAGCCGGCGATACCCAACCCCCCTCGCGGCCGGGCAGCCGGCGGTACCCCCCCCTGCGGCCGGGCAGCCGGCGATACCCCCCTCGCGGCCAGCGTGCCGCTCTTTTAGATTGTAATTGTTTCGCGGAAGGTCCTCATCAACCTATTGCTCCTGTAACATTTTGCAAATGTCTCACTTATTGTTATATTTTCCCTCTTTTATAATATTGTACAGCGCTGCGGAATATGACGGCGCTATATAAATTATAGTATTAGTAACAATACCTGCCTCTTGAAGAGGGCAGGGAGTCAGGGGGGGCAAGGGAGCCAGATGCTTGGGGTAGTCAGGGGTAAGTAATAAAGAGAATTAGATAATTTAACAGATAGCTGCTGAGCTGTGAATGGGCAGATAGATAGACAGCAGGGACAGACCTCACACCTCGCAGAGGATCCATGGCTGGGAGCAGAGCTGCACTGATATAGAGTAAGGGTGAGCAGCAGATCCCCAGCTGTTCTAAAACTACAACTCCCATGATGCTTTGCCGGCAAGGCTCAGCGATAGAACAGGATTGATGGTGTTGGCCATCCCTGGCCTAGAGCCATTAATAGAAAGCCCGGTATCGGGAGGGCACACAGCGACACGGTACCTACCAGGGCGGATATCCCGTCCTCGGCCTCCCCTCACCGGGCCGCCTTGACCTCCTCCTCCCCGGCTCCTCGCTCTCTGCCTCACACTCTCACCGCTTCCAGCGCCTCTGCGGCCATCACACAGCGCCGCTACAGACCACGCCCCCTCCCCGGCACGTCAGCAGGGCCCCGCCCGCGCAACGTCACTTTGCAGCTAACTTCACCGCGAGTCCCTGGGAGAGGGTGTGGGCGGAGCCCGGGGAGAGTGTGGGCGGAGCTTTGCTCGGTCACATGATGAGGTCTTGGCTGCTTGCAATGCATGCCACTGTTGAATGTGATTTGGTAACTCAGAGCCTATCAAAGCATGGGGCAAGGGGGGAGACATAGCTACCCACCCCCCCAAAAAAACTGCTGTTTTTCTTATTGAAATAATGTCCTAGATGTATGTATAATGGTTTTGCTTGCTCTCTTTATAGAATGTATCTGCAGATACCCCATGTCATGTCACTATAGGACATCTTAAAGCACAACTGTCCCATTGGAGATTGATATATAAGCTCATAGCCAATTAAAATTCACTATAGGTCATGCTATTTATTTGTAAAAAAATGTTTTTAGTTGTTATGCCCTGCCTGGCTGTCTGGGTATAGCGTTAATGTTATTATTGTCTGTAAGAGCCAACATATGACAAGTAGTGTGCTTAAAACGAATTGGAACAGCAGGTTCTCAGGGCCCTGCTCCAGCTAAGGGCAAACATTCTGATATTGGGAGGTCTGAAATCAGTCATGTCACCCCACTCTCACACTGTCACCCCACTCTCACACCCCTCCCCCTGTCACCCCCTCACACCCTTCCCCCTGTCACCCCCCTCTCCCTGTCACCCCACTCTCACACCATGTCACACCCCTCCCCCTGTCACCCCCCTCTCACACCATGTCACCCCCCTCCCCGTCACCCCCCTCCCCGTCACACCTCGCTCACACCACCCTGTCACCCCCTCTCACACTATGTCACCCCTCTTTCACCCTGTCACCCCCTCTCACACTATGTCACCCCTCTTTCACCCTGTCACCCCCTCTCACACTATGTCACCCCTCAGTCACCCCCTCTCACACTATTTCTCCCCCCAGTCATCCCCCTCTCACCCACCCCGTCACACCCCTTACACTCAGGGCCAGATTAAGAGCCCAGTGGGCCTGGTGCTGACAATTATGATGGGGCCTAATTACAGAAATGTCACGGACCCCGGCTCGCCGCGAGGTGCGGTCGCACCGGACCAGTGCGACCGCGCCAATGAACTGAGCTTACCTGCTCAGCAGCAAGTCGGGAGCCGCTCTGCCGGGTTCTCCCGGCTGCCTGCCCGGGTTCAAGATGGTGCCGAACACGCGGTCGCAGCTAGATATAGCTCTGCCCCACAGCGTCACACACACACATGTTCTGCAGTCAGAGGGATATTTAACCTAGGTTATTGCCCTATCGTGGTTTTCGTTCCTGGTTCCTGAATCCTGAGAGTGCGTTTCCTTGTCCTGTTTTTGATATTCCCAGTATTTTGACCTTGGCTATTCATGACTATTCTGATTCCTGACTTCCCTGACTTGGCTTGTTAAATGGTATTGTATATTTCTGGCTCCCTTGACCATTCTCTGTTTTTAAAGTATTAGTCCGGCCATTCTAAGGACCGGTTTACGTTTTATCATTTTCTGTTCAGTTTATGTAGATGTTACATAGTTCTGCGTGCTAGACCACACTAGCAGTCATGACAAGAATCTTAGTCATACCTCTCAAGCGTCAAGTATCTAATGGAGATGGTGTTGGAGGGAAACTCAAAGGATACAGCTTTAAGAAAACACATACTCTATGCTAATCTCTCTCTAATTTATGCTTTAAACTTTCAAGTAAATCCATACCCCCTAACAGCAGTGTCCAGTGAAGCAGGAAGTCAATGGGGACACTGGGAGAAATGGGGACACAGACACTAGGGACACAGAGACACAGACACTGGAAGACATGGGGACACTAAGACACTAGGGACACTGGCTGGGAGGCATGGAGACACTTGGGGACACTGGGAGACATGGGGACATTTGGGGACACTAGGCACACTGAGAGACATGGGACACAGACAGGGCCGGACTGGGGAAAAAATTAGGCCCGGGCATTTTTCAATCAGAGCGGCCCCCTAAGAAGGGGACGGGCCCGAGAGTGTGTGTTTTGTCATCACTAATGACAACACGCCCCTCTCAAAGTGAGCATGTTGGTTCAATGCCCAGAGCCCTGCTGAAGAGCTCTGGCATTAGAAAAAGGCCCTGAATTTGCGTATAGGGTAAGGGATCTAGTGTGCATCTGGAGCGTAATGTGTGTAGTGGTGCAGTGTGAGGGGTGCTGTAATGTGTGTGTGTGTGTGTGTGTGTATGTATATATATATATATATATATTTGGACTTATTGTATGTCTGAGGGGCGCAGTGTGTGTATGTAAGAGGGGTGCTGTGTGTGAGGGTGTTTTTATCTGCTGTCACATTCTAGGTTTCTAATTTTCTTTGTCTGTTAACTCACTGAGGGTTATTTTATATATATATATGTGTGTGTGTGTGCTGTATATGTGTGGGAGTGTGCTGTGTGTGTGAGTGAGGGTGCTAATTTATTTATATATTTATTATTATTTATGTATTAATATATTACTAAAAGTTATAACTATAACTGAGTTTTTGAATTTTTGCAAACTGAAAATTTTGGTGACTCGTTTTTGAAACTGCTACAATTCAGTGTTTAGTGGGGGGTGCTGTGTGTCTGGGTGCTCTGTGTGTGTCTGGGTGCAATGTGTGTCTGGGGGTGCAGTGTGTGTCTGGGGGTGCAGTGTGTGTCTGGGGGTGCTGTGTGTGTCTGGGTGCGCTGTGTGTGTGTGAGTGCGCTGTGTGTGTCTGGGGGTGCAGTGTGTGTCTGGGTGCAGTGTGTGTGTCTGGGGGTGCTGTGTCTGGAGGTGCTGTGTCTGGGGGTGCTGTGTCTGGGGGTGCTGTGTCTGGGTGAATGTATTTTTTATGTAAATTTAAATATATTTTTTTTACTAATAAAAAAAAAAAAAAAAATTATTTCCCCCCCCTCCCTTCTTACCTTTATCCTGGGAGGGGGAGGATGAGATCCGTTCTGCCTGGGGGGTGGGGAGCCATGCTGCCTTCCCTGGTGGTCCAGTGGTGAGAGTGAACTCTAACCTGCAGGCTAGAGTTCACTCTCGCGAGATTATGCGTTGCCGCGGCAACGCTCAGAATCCCGCGAGAGGACCGGCGGAGCTGCTTGTTAGAGCTCCGCCGGGTCCTCTCCTCCCTCCCTCCCTCCCTCACACCCCAGCCGGCGGCCCCATCTCTCTGTCTGTGGGCCGGTGAGGGAGATCTTAGATCTCCCCACCAGCCCACGGAGGCACTATGCAGGGCCGGCGCTCGGATAGCGCTGGCCCTGCAGGCCATCGGGCATACCGGGCATACCGGGCATTTGCCCGGTATGCCCGATGGCCAGTCCGGGCCTGGACACAGACACTGGGAGACATGGCGACACAGACACTAGAGACACTGGTTGGGAGACATAGGGACACTGGTAGACATGGGGACACTGAGACACTAGGGGGACTGGCTGGGAGACATGTGGACACTGGGAGACATGGGGACATGGGGACACTGAGACACTAGGGACACTGAGAGACATGGGGACATAGACATTGGGAGACTAGGGGACACTGGGAGACTAGGGGACACTGAGACAATAGGGACACTGGCTTGGAGGCATGGGGACACTGTGTCCCACGTGTCTCTGTGTCTCAGTGTGTCTCCCAATGTCCCCATGGGTCTCAGCATCCCCATATCTCACAGTGTCCCCTAGTTTTTCAGTGTCCCCTAGTTTTTCAGTGTCCCCATGTCTCCCTGCTGCCTTTCCCCCCCATCCTTCACTTAACTGAGCTGTAGGCTGTTTCTGTAGGCTGGGAGCTGCTGTCTGGCCTCTATGTGCTGTGTAGCTGCTCCCCTGCGGATCAGTGAATAGAGAGAGGCAGGGAGTGATATGCTGTAACTTCCTATCCCTGCCTCTCTCCACACACAGTGACCCCTACTGGTTAGTGCTGGTATTGCAGAGTAATCTCCGTTTATACTGAGAAAAATACCTGCATTTGTATTGCCGGTATTACTGCAATACCGGCATGGCCAGGCAGCCTCAAATACCGGCTGTGCTGGTAAAACACCAGTCAGGTGGCAAACCTAACAGTAGTGTGTGTAAAAAAATAAAAATAAAAAAAAAAGTTAAGAATTTTTTTTTTTTAAATGGGCCTATTCCATGGGCCTGGGCCTGGGCCTGGGCCTGGGCCTGGAGCTGCAGCTCCATCACCCCCTATGTTAATCCGGCCCTGCTTACACTAATGTAACCCTCTCACTGTCACCCCCTCTCACACTAATGTCACACCCCTCTCACTCTGTCATCCCCTATCACATTATGTCAACCCCCACTTACACTGTAAAACACCCCTCACACTATGTCACCCACCCGCTCACACTAATGTCACCCACCCCACCTTTCACACACACTGTGACCACCCTTTGCACACACTGACACCAATCTCCGCACACACTGGAATCCCCCTACATACACACTGTGACCCCCCTCCACACACACCGTCACCACTCTCCGCACAGACGGGCGCCACTCTCCGCACTCTGGCTCCCCCCACTATACACACTGTGACCTCTCCACACTCTGGCACCCTTCACCATACACTCTGGTACCTCCTTCCATACACTCGGTCACTCTCCTCTGCATTCTGGCACACTCCTCCACACTCTGGCACCACCTTCCATACACACAGTCATCCCTCTACACATTGTCACTCTGTTACCCCTAACACAAACTGACACCCCCCAGATACTGCTACCACCCCCCCACCCCCACACACACACACACACACACACACACTGTCGCCCTTACACACTTATATGAACTCTTCCTGATTCAGTCACACTCACCCCATCCAATCATGCAGCACTTACCCTATAACATGAATCCCCCTAATCCTGTCACACTCACCTTTTCTCACACTGTCACATTCACCTCCCAGCCCTATAACACTCTAATCCCAATCTCCCTGTCACAATCACCCTGTCATATAAACCCCTCAAACCCTGCCACGCTCACCTTCCGTCGTCCTGACACAGTCCCTCCTCCAACCATGCCACACTCATCCCCAGCTCTGTCACACTCGCC